TCCTAGGGATAGAAGTAACTCATTCAAAAAAAGAAATTTTTATCAGCCAGAGGAAATATGTTCTTGATCTTCTCAAAGAAGCAGGAAAGCTCGGGTGTAAACCCTCTAATACTCCTATTGAGCAGAATCACAAGATAGGCTATGAAGAGGAGAGTCCTCCAATTGATAAAGGACAATATCAACGGCTAGCTGGGAAATTGATATATCTGGCTCATACTAGATCAGACCTAGCTTATGCTGTTAGTGTTGTCAGTCAGTTTATGAACAATCCAAAGGAGAAATACATGCAGGCAGTGGAGAGAATTCTTCAGTATCTTAAAGATACTCCAGGTAAAGGATTATTATTCCGGCGTGATGGCCATCTCTCTTTAGAAGTCTACACTGATGTTGATTATGCTGGATCTGTGACTGACCGTCGTTCTACTACTGGTTATTGTATGTTTCTTTGTGGTAACTTGGTGACATGGAAAAGTAAGAAACAAGATGTGGTTGCCAGATCAAGAGCAGAAGCTGAATTTCGAGCTATGGCTCAAGGCATTTGTGAGTTACTGTGGCTAAAAATTGTACTTGATGACCTCAAAATAAAATGTGAACGACCTATGAAGCTGCTATGTGATAATAAGTCCGCTATTTGTATAGCTCATAATCCAGTTCAACATGATCGGACTAAACATATTGAGGTCGACCGCCATTTCATCAAAGAGAAACTTGATAGCGGGTTGATTACCACTCCATACATTCCCACTGGGCGTCAATTAGCTGATGTATTGACAAAGGGACTTTCTTCAGACAGATTTCAAGAGCTTACTAGCAAGCTGGGAATGATAAATATCTATTTCTCAGCTTGAGGAGGAGTGTTGTAAATAATAACTATTTAGTCATTTATTTGTTGTATTAGGCCAAGCCCATTAGGTCAAAATTAGGTCAAGTATTCTCTATAAATAGAGAACCCTTTGTACAGATTATTTACAATTCTATAATATATCAGAATACCTTTTTCAAGTTATTTTCAACCAGAAAAACGAAAGTTTGCAAAGAGAAATTATCACAAAATGGAAATTCAAATAACATTAGTTAGGGACCAAATTATGATGTGGTCACAATTACTTACCAGGAAATTCCAATCATCTCTGCTAAGTTCATCGTCAAGATGTCGAGACACATTTTGATCTACTTGTGTAGTATCTTTAACCTACAGTAACAAGAGGCATCAGAAAAACAACGTAAAATAATACATCAACCATATAGTTTTTAGGGAAAAGTTCAAAAACTCCATGTGGTTTACTCTTTTAACACTTACCCCCCCCGCCCCAAATGATTTTTTTCTTATCACTTATCTCCCGTATGGTATTTTCCGTCCAAGTTCATATTTAACACCATTAAAATTTGAATTCACTAGCCCATTTTACCCGTCTTGCCAACATCAAAAGCACTAGTCTATCATAAAACTTCCAGAAGAAATTACCTGCTTTATATAACTTCCAAAAAGAATCAAATCATTCAAGCCATAAAACTTAAAAGATGAACAAGAAAAGGGGGAGAAATACTGGCATATAGATTGTACACACTTACCACTCTTTTTATTGTTAATGATAATTATGTTTATTTGACAAATCACCTTGGAAGCCTTTTCCCTTGATCGCTATGCTTGGGTTTCAGGTCTTCCTGATCAATCTATCACTCTAAATGTTTTACAGCAATAAAGGCATTGGTGAATAGATGCGCTGATTCTAATTTGACTGTTTAACAGGTGAGAATCTTAGACACGACTAGTGTTAAAATATTTTCATTAAATCATTTAACTCATCAGCCATGTAAATTATCATTTAGTGATTGAATAAAACTTTATTGAAGAATTTCTGTTAGGCAGAGTATAGATGGAGTAATGATTAATAAAAGCTCATTGAAAAGTGCCTAATTCTAAGCATTTTTGAAAATCAAACAATGGAAAATAATTGTAACGACAATAACAACAATAATAATATAAACAAAGAGCAACAAAAGCATTACAGAAAAATCATCCAGATTCCAGATTTATGATAGATTAGTGCATTTGATGTAGGCGAAACAGGGATAAAATGGGGAAGTTAGTTCAAATTTTAATGGTGTGTGAACTTGGATGGAAAAAACCATATGAGAGGTGAGTGATAAGAAAAAAACTATAGGGGGGAAAGTGATGAAAGAATAAACCACGAGGTTTTTGAACCTTTCCCTTTTCTTTTCTTTTTTCAAAATAAACTTATGATCATTGAAAGAACATGTCATGTAAAGAAGAAAGCTGCCTCACTTGTCATGTTCCTGAGACATGAGAAGTTATTAATGAGAAATGCAAATGCATAGAGAGGTCAAATACAACTCAAATATATATACATAGACATGCACACATAAAAAAATAAATAAAAAAATAAAAAATCAAAGTGATTATTAATGATCACATGCATTATGGCCTATTTGGGAGGCACAAGACCATGTCTATATGCTGACATGTACACTGAAGACTTACAAAAAAACTGCTAACTCCGTCATGTCGTGCAAATAAACCAGGAAATAACTTGAGCCATGTATCATCACCATGCATAACCATTTTCCATCCAATCTTAGAGAACTGTGCTGCAACAAACAAGTGACAATGACGTAAATACAATTTCACAGAAAAATCAATGATATGGTCAATTTTTCCAACATGGTTGCTACAACTAACCAAGAAGATTGTCATCAAAATAAGCCTGTGTGTTAAAGTTGAAAGCCACATCCAAGAAACCCCCAATTGCTCCTGAAACCATGGCCTGGAGTGAAAAACAAAAGAGATAAAATAAGAAGAGGTTGGAAAAAAGAAAAGAAATCCATAGATCATATGCTTTTCTTTCGTACTTTCACATTTGAAACAGGAAAGGACACTGACCTTCAGACGAGGCATGGTAACTGTTGGAGCTGCAGCTATTGCATGATATCCAACAGCCATACCATTCACCAACAATGACTGGGTATATGGCATAGCTTCCAGAAAAGCCTTGCTTGGAGGCTGACCCTTCTTGCCAAGCACAAATTCAGCTGGAAGACCGTCAATGACCTAAAGTAAAATGATTTTATGCAACAAATTAATATCTATAACTGTAAGCCATGAACAACCAAAATATATATAAAACAAAATCATAGACCTTATCAAATATGGTATTCAGGCAGTTGTACATACCATTAAGATGAGTCGATCATATGAAAAAGGGATCTCAGATTCTTCCTACACAAAGAACATTTTCTAAATTCATTAGTAAAAACAAAACTAGAAGCATAAATGAGAATTGGATTAAATCAATCACCCTTTACGAGAAAACAATGCTTTCCAAATAAAAAATTCCTGCATAACATATGATCCTACTGACATTCTGGAATACAGAAAAAACTAATCATGCAGTTTACAGACGCTTTCCATTATGAAAATTGTTGGTATTTCACTTCCAGTTCCAACTACAATGAACATCCCCATTTCCCAGTCTCGTTTGTCTTTAATCAATATTTAAGCTATCTAACTTGAAAGAAAGAAACAGAGAAAAATGAAGCCATTTTATTGTTCCAAGTCAGTTAGCATACTTTTGGTACTAGAAAGGACACCACACGGTGCCATCCTGAACCTTCACTGGTTGTTATCACAACTGAACTTAATCTTATGACCTTAAAAGGTGAAATACCATGTGAATGTGATACATAATAGATTAGGATTATTTGAATTATTTTTAATATATGAATTGAATGGTAACTTATGTTATTTAGGATCTTGACATCTTTCCTTATTTTTAGGGATTATATCTTTGATAATATATTTGTTTCAAGGAAATTTATATTTAATTAAGATCATGTATCTAAATACGACTTATCTACGATTTTTGTTATATTTAGTTATAAACACCCTTTAGGTGCATACTTTAACATAATAAAATATTCTTAGCCAGGAGAGTACCCTACCCAAGAGGAGTACTCTTGGTTCCCATTCTACATCACCATGTTATAACAATCATAACAGATCTCCAATTCACAACAAATACGAATAGAATGAATAAACTGTGATCTAATATCAAACTAAATGACTGTTTGCAAGAAGTAATACAAAAACGTAGATGCGTGAAACAAAATAAATTCAGCATCAAACAAACCAATGGATAGTAATTAGTGCATAAGAATTTGCATTCACCACCACAACCTGATACAACAACCTAAGGCGATCTGATGCCTCGCTCCGATTTGCAAAGCCATCGTTATCGCAGGTTGGGCGTCGGAAACTCTCCAAACCACTAACAAAGCAAAAAAGGAAGTCAAATAATCAAATCGAGGAAAAGGTTTAGGTTTGAAGATTTGAAGATTTTACCTGTGACCGGAGAGAACTGGTTTGACGGGGAAGAAGCCGAAAACGAAGATCGAGAGGCCTATGAACTGGATGATAACTGCTGCTATGCTAAGTAGTGTCAGCTTAGTGCAAGAAATTGAAGACATTTTTGGTAGGTGTCGTTTGAAGGTTGGTGTTAAAATGTGAATTTATTTTAATTTTTTTTTTTTCACTCTCCTTTGTTTGGAATTTCTTTTCAGCGTGGTAAAGAAAGGGAAGGACTGGGGAAGGATTATTTTTTATTTTTTATTTTTTATTTTTCACATGTGACGTGAGGAATCAAATTTTGAAAAGAGTTAAAGAGAATTTTCATTTGTCCCTTTCATTGATCGCCAACTCCCACAAAATAAAAGTGGCGTTAATGTTAACTAAAATTTCCTCATCATCTAAATTTTAACTCCCTATGCTTTTAAAATAATTACTTTTTTTATTTTAAATTTTTTCTTTCTCCTTAATTGTCAATTACTAATACTTCCAAATTAATTCTTTTTACATTAAATTTTTCTTCTTTTTTCTTCCAATTTCATCTTCTTGCCTGCTTATTTATCAATAGTAAGATGAGATTCATGGCAGATTCGATGAAATTCGACATGAATAAACATGAAGTCTTAAACAAGCCTGTGGACTCGGGCATTTTGGATAAATTACACTTCATAAACAAAATTGCAGGATAAGAAATACTGAAATAATTACAACCAAATATGGAAACATGCATGCAGAACAAGGATTGTACAGTGGTTCCCCCACTACTCAATCAACGCCCAAAAGCCGAAGCCTTCACAAGCAACCTACTCGAGGCCTATAATGTATAGTTCATGATCATATTGCCCTTGAAGGTTAAGTTCTCACATCTTTCAGTGAACCCCCTTTTTCAAGCTCAATGACGAGATCCCTAAGGGATGGAACCTTCATAGCCAAGGTCCTATATAATCTAGAATACCGTGCTCGAGTTCCATCTGCAGTCCTTGCCAGGGCAAGCAAGCTTAAAGCATCAGGTAGTTCAGCAAATACTTGCTTCATTTCCTCCAAGCTCATATTTTCCAAAATGGACGGCCTAGGGGCAACCCTCACAATCTCACCTCCATTAGGTTCCTGAACTCGAGCCTCAGCTTTAATTATTAGTTCTGAATTTGAGTTTGCTCCACATTTGATTATAAATGGTGAGGTATTGCCTGTATTAAATTGAAGCACGTTCCACTGTGCCACATCAGTTCCAGATCCAGAGCCCACATCAGTTGATGGCTTGCGAGCATGTGATAAATCTTGAATGCGGTCATCTTCTTCAGGAATTGACTGCGTCAAACACAACAGAAAAGAGGGTTTAGGATTCACAAAACTCAACAAACGCCAGACCCAACTGATTTCAGACAAAAAAATATCTTAATTTCACACAAATGCAAGGAGACGGAAAATCATTTCAAATTATTTTCAACTGTTCAGTCCTTAGTTTTGTTTCTTTCTATTTTCTTTTTTTCTAGGGGCTACAAAATTCCTTAGTATTTAACTTGGTAGTACTCCCATATAGCAAAGCAAATAATTTAATTAACAATAATTTAAAAATTAATGGCAACTACGGAGAAAAACCAGGCAAAGTCAACCTCTCCGTTAATGCACCATTCCTGTCCTTATTAGATATGCTTTTTATCAGAGCAGTCGTAGTGAATTTTAGTCAACACTGAGTATGCCAACACAGTTCAAAGCACAATCTGATTCCTTTAGTGCTCACAATCTAGTCATACTGAGCAACAACTTGCATACCTCAACCATGCGGCAAGCATCTGCAATGTGCCTCTGAGCACATGGATGATCAATTTCAAGAAGCGAAGGCATTCGTTCTGTTAGTTCATCAAGAGAAACAAGCACTGTTCTTTTCTTACTTTTCCCGATGGTGTTCATAGTAGAAAGTCTTGTTATATCCTGTTCAAATTATACCTTAAATTATTGATTATTTCTTATTAGAACACTAAACTCGAGCTTCCAAAACAGATTTCAAGAAGAAACAAGAACCTTGATTTGCTTCAATATGCCGTCAAGTGAAATGAGAGATGCTAATCGTGCATCTTCAGCTGCAGAAGAAGGACTTTGAATAGGTGAACCACCATTTTCCAATAATAACGCTACATCACTTCTCATTTGTTGCAAAATCTGAATATAATAAGATATCAACGGCACATGATAAATAGACATTTTAAGAAGAAAATAATACATCAATATCCTTCTTTAATTGCTATTAAAATTTAAATCTATCACTAACATTGCAGTAGTACAGGTCTGACAGAATTGACATATCATGTGTTTAGGAATGAAGGCTAATGTCACCAGAAAATTCCCCCCTCTTTAAATGGCCTATTTTGCTGCTCAGTAAGAACTGCAGAAAATCAACTTTACCAAAATTGAAACCCAGGACTGCATAACTGCACTTCAATTACCTTGAGTTCAACGGTCATAACTTGTGTTGGCTATATACAAGTAATTAAAAGGGGTGTATGTTCCGTTTATATCTTCCTCCTAATCACACAGATATAGACCTCTAGAAGTGCTGAATACGACTCTCTGAATAGAAGTATAACCAACAAAATTGGTAATTTCCCAATTTTTGTGTGTGACTTTCACTTCCTCTTATAAAAGCAATTTCCAAGTATCAAGTGAAAATATTTCAAAACAAAATATAAAAATGCTGCACTGCAATCATGGGTTATATTAAAATTTCTTGTACAACATTTGCATAGTAAACTAATGCAATGACAAAATATTCACTTCATGAAGGAACTCTTGACGTATGCAAATATGATTACATGCATGAATAAGATATAACAGTTGAATAAAATAAAGTACCTTTCTTCTTTTGAGATCAACGGATTCTAGAGCTGAACGCAACTTGCCCACTTGTGCTGAATCCTCAGCCTCTTCTGTTGCCAAGGTACCAGCAATATCCTGATAACCAAATGTCAGAAAACATAGGATCAACACATAAGTTAAGGAGTGCACATACAAGGAGAATTAGTCAAATTGGAAGTTTCATTCAATTTTTTGGTTTAGGATATGTATCCAAACCACTCAATCCAACTAAGTAAATCATACAAATATAACTAGCTATAGATGGTAATGGACAGCTCTCACGCATAGCAATTAGATGACTTGAATGAAAATTTTCAAAATGCATGTAGAAAATTAGAGACAATAATATTACAAAATTCTGAGCATAGTTTCTTAGCTAACACTGGGTTCAGATCTAATGTGAGATACAGTTAAAGAAAATAAGAAGATTAAGATAGATAGATAGCAATAGTAATATAGGAGCATTTAATAAGGATCATATAGAGCACAACAAAATATGAAGAAAAAAAAAGTGATATTCTGGGTTTTACTACTAACAGAAGAAAAGTATTTCCAGAGCTTGGTACTTTCACAAGCCCCCAATCAAGAAATGTTACGGTATTGTATGCATGCAGATCAGATGGTAGTAAAAGGTGGTTTTTACTAACGAAAAGTAAAATGAGAATAACAAGATTAATATACTTTATGGCCTGACCAAGCCAGAACCTTTCTAAGAATCTTGTGTTCTCGTAGGGTCTCCCAATTTACATATAATTTCGAAATTTTATAGTTGAGAAAAATTAGAATAAAAGACTACAAACTCCATATAAAGCTCAAAGAAATATCCATATCCAAGAAAATTATTAGAAAAGAATTCCTGAAAAAAGTTTACTAACATGGAACAACTTGTACACTAAAAATATATACTCTTGAGCAAGCAAGTCAAACCTCTTCGGCAACCAATAGTGTAATAAAAATTATTTGGGTTGCACCAGATTTAGGAATGCCTTCTGGAAAAATTTTAGGGAAAAGTTCATAACCCCCCCCCCCCCCCCCCTTTTCTTCTCTCTCTGTGTAGTCAGGAACATCAAATGTACTGTAAAAAAAAAAAAATACTCCCCGTTAAACCCGACTAGCGAGTGTGGAGTGGAGGTAATACTTGTACGCAGTCTTACCTTCAAATGTACTGTATTCATTTAAAATAATCTCTTTCTAACAGATTTAAGATGAAACGTACCTTCAGGTGCTGCAGTTGAGAAGTATACACACGTTTTGAATATTCAAATAAAAGTTGGCCAAGCGCATCAGTCTGAGGAGGCATAGCAGCACCAAGCCCAGCCATCCAACCATCCATAATTGCAGTTGAAATAAGCTCCAATTGACCAGTTGTCCCCCCAGGTGCATCATTTCCCGTAAGAGACAGAAAATCAAACTTCTCTGCAAGCCAGGATCTAATTTGACGCTGCAGCTCACCTGCCGGAGTATGTACAAAGAGTGCAGCAAGAGCCTTGTTTCCTATCGCAAAATGTTTTGCTTCCTCAGTAATTTCCCTTAGTTTTCCACCAGTTACCTGCTGTCTCCAGGTATCCTGCACAGTTTATTTCAAATTGCTAAGACAGAGTTATAATATATATATATATATATATATATATATATATATATATAGGGTTCGTTTTTTCTGCAGTTACTGCATATAAGTTATCTGCAGTAAGCCCAATATGACATCGTTTTGGGACGGAATCATGTTGTTTTTGTAATTTTAATTTATTTCAGGGTTATTATAATCTTTATAATTATAATTTTTTAATCTTTCAATTCCAAAACGACGTCGTTTTGGGAGTCAATGCAGATAACTTATCTGCAGTAACTGCACAAATATTTTTCTAATATATATATATATGAGGCAAGATCAACTTACACCGGTGTAAGACTAATAAGTTTTAGACCAAACCTTAACCATTGATTTTCGTGAATCTAACAGTTATGATTTATTGAAAATTAATAATTAATTAATGAATGTGATAATCACAACCGTTAGATTCACGTAAATCAACGGTTAAGATTTGGTATAAGACTAATAAGTCTTACATTGGTGTAAGTTGATCCTATCCCTATATATATATATATATATATATATATATATATAGAGAGAGAGAGAGAGAGAGAGAGAGATGAACTTAAGTTCAAAGAAAGAGGGGGCTTTGTCCAGTATAGTGCCTAAAAAGAAGAGACAAAATCAAACAAAAACTAAAGGAATAACATGCCCTTAAGGAAACTTTTTAAAAGGGCTAACTTAGTCTTCCTTCATTTCCCAAATAGTTACTAATATGAGAATGTGTCGACAAGAAATAGTAAAAAAATTTACAATGTTCAAAGTTTAAAGATATTTGACGAAAGGTAAGAGTAATACCCATGCCTGAAAAAAGGGTAAGACAATGTCGATTAAGATGGCTTGGGCATATTCTTTAAAGACCCTTAGATGTTCCCGTAAGAAGAAAATTTTGTTACCAAACTCATTACACAAAAAAGGAAGAGATCGGCCAAAACTTACTTGGGGGAAAGTTAAACAAGATTTATAGGATTGAAAAATAGATTGGTGTACGATTTGTCTAAGGACGGAATGGAGGAAAACTATTAGCATTATGGAGAGTCAAACTTATTATTTCCTATGTTCCAGATGGTCCTTTTTCCCTATATTTATTAATTTATTTATTTCTTCTCTCTTGTTTATTTATTTTCCCCTCAATCTTTTCTTGATTTCTATTTGGGTTCATTGACCGTCAACCCCAACTAGTTTGGTGTGAAGGTAATGTTGATGTTGTTGATTTCAAAGTCAAAAGACAGGAGAAACTACATCTTGTTCAATAGTTTTCTCCAGCATCAAAACAGAAAAATTAGAGGATAATGGCAGCTACCTCATCAATCCCACGTATCTTCAACACAACAGATGAAAATTTGGATTTCTTTTCTGGCTTTAGATTTACTTTAAATCCTTGGATCTGCTCATCAACATAATGCACGGGAGATCTAGGAGATCTTCCAGGACTACTCCCTCGGCTGGAACTTCTACTGCGTCCAGTGTTGGCCTTTTCAAGAAAGCAATCAACTGGCAAGACCTTCCAATCCAATGTGCAAGATCTACCAAATTAAAAAATGCCCACCAGATTCAACACAACACCACCGAATACATAGAAAAAACCTTATTACCTTAATGGATTGCAACTCTGGGGATCTAGCAAGCAAAGATCTTATATACAGGATTCTAACACGTGAAACAAGCATGGCATCCATTACTCGCTTTGGTTCCATTTTCCGAATAAATGAGAAAACAGCATCCCTAATTTCAGCAAGTATCTCATGTTCTCTGGAGGCACCAGCTTTTATGACAGCAGCCAGAACCTGCAAGCATTATGAACAACGATTAGGTGAAGGCTAATGAATGGTTTTATATTTAACATGTTCCCTCATTAAAGAGCCATTTGGGCTTAAAGTATGGACATGCTCACCCTACTTTGGGCAGACATTAAACTTTTTTATTTATAAAAATGGATGCAACAAGGATTGAACTCTAGACTACGTGGTGATAAAGGCTTTAATACCATGTCATCAATCAACTATCCCAAAGTTTAAAGCAATCAGATGAAGGCTCATGACTGGTCCTATAACTAACAACATTAAATGGGTATTATCATGCTGCATGTATTTGATTTGGTACTTCATATAGATGCAGAGCAATCAGCATCACATCAAATTTTCAAGGATGTCTCTCTGCTTTACATTTGTTATAGGATAAAGTTGTCCAAGCACATTTCTATTACTGATATGCAAAGAAATTGGACAGCTTTTTAGCATCTATGAGCAACTTTATCTCACAGTTTTCTTTTATATTTCTTTCTCAGGAGATTTTCATTGCCTCACCAGATGCACTTTCTCTCCTTTCTATTTAGTAATGTATTGCTGCAAATCGACCAGCAACCATCAGAACACTAGTAATCAAGCTTTCACACATTTTCTAACTGTATTAAGAGCATGCATTTCTAAGGCCCAGATTGTGGCAATAAAAGTAAAATTCACATCTGAACATAAAAAAATTTCAGTTCATCGAAGTCATTGTATTATCCAGTGAGTAGTAACTAGAGATTGTGGCAATAAAAGTAAAACTCACATCCAAACCTAAAAGAATTTCATTTCATCCAAGTCATTGTATTATCCAGTGTGTAGTGACTAGCAGAAGAGGTCAGAGCATACTGAATTTTTCAATTTTAGAAGTATGATTAGAATATTTATAGCAACATTCCTACCCAAATAGACTAGACTCAACATAAAAATCAAAAGGACAATACATCTGCATATAAACTACAACTAAATTATTTTCAACAAATTGAACCATAAAGTAATCAAGATCCATACCAGCATCAGAAGCTTGTTTGCACCGTCAGAAATGGCAGCAACGCCTTCATATTGATCGGGATTAAAGTCATTCAGGGCAGCAATCAGATATTCACCCGCAGGGGTAGTCTTCACTTTCTCAGAATCAGATTTAACTAATGCAACCGTGCCATCATTCTTATCTGTCATCAAAGGCGAAGGAAGAACATCCCTAGAATGAGCTTTTGCATTGTTGCTGGTATCATTCCTGTTTCAATACAATGAAAATGAGACATGCTTAAAAGCAAAATACAACTTTCTCAGAATCAGATTATACCTTCCTATGTTTTGAGGCTGAACATTAACTGATCCCCTAGATAATGGACTTGACAGCTGAAAATAAAGGGAAAATCTTATAAAGTTAGAAACACCAGATTAACAGCATAGAAGCATGCAATACAAATAATGGTCAGAGTAGGTTTCGTTCTGTCATCTATCCCTTGTATATGTTACCATATGTTGCTGATTTCCTGATTGAAGAAAAGGAAGCAAACTATGATGAAACAATGGTTAAGAACCTCTCTAATTGGAGCCATGCAGACATAAGCTAGTTTAAAAATAAAAAATTCTTTGCAATCAAACAGTTATTTTTGTGCAAGAGGAAAGTTTTCTACTACTTTGTTGAAGCTCTTTTCATTGCATACATAAACCATCAAAAGAATTAGGATTCAGGACTAGTGGATACTACTGTAATAAAATAACACACATATATATGCATGCAGACATACATATATACATATGTCCAATCTACCTTAATTTGGTCTGCATGATTATCACAACAATCACCCGATATTGAACAGTTGGAAGAGTAAATTTCATATCTTGCATAAAGTTATTCAACAATGTATGTGTACAAGACTTACTCTTGGGGTCAATGGACCCCACCAATACATAGTTATCTAATCTAATATTTGATATTTACTTACATTTTGAACAGCATATTATATGTTAATGTAAAGTACTTAAATGAAATACCAAATAATTTATAAATTATATGAAGTTTTATAAGCTTGATCTACCTTCTGAACATAACTCAATGGTTGATTGACTAAATTCAACATCTATAAATAGTTACTCAAATGAGTGTGCTAAGACTTGTTCTTTAAGTAAGTGGACCCCCACAACCACCACCACACACACAGAACATGACAAATCATTGAAAAGAAGTTTCTGTATATTGATTTTGAATAATTTACATGAGTGAGTATTTATACAAGAAAGAATCGCTAAGAATGACAAAGCGATGACTAAGCGATGACTAATCAATCCTAATCACAATCAATTCTAATCAATCACAATCAATCCTAATCAATCATAATCAATCCTAATTAATAGGAAATAAAAACGGAAACATGTTTGGATTCTGATTTTCTACACTCCCCCTCAAGTTGGGAAGTAAATATTGATCATTCCCAACTTGCCAATCAAGTCTTCGAATGCTGGACGGTGTAGGCCCTTGGTAAGGATATCTGCCGTTTGCTCTTTGGTTGGAACATATATCAAACGCACACTTCCATCATCTAATTTTTCTTTGATGAAGTGACGATCAACTTCCACGTGCTTTGTTCGATCATGATGCACAGGATTTTGAGCAATGCTAACAGCTGCCTTGTTGTCACAATATAGTTTTATTGGTAGGGAATATGAAATCTTCAACTCTTGAAGAAGTCTTCTCAACCAGATTCCTTCACAAACTCCATGAGATAAAGCTCGAAATTCTGCTTCAGCGCTACTTCTAGCAACCACTGTTTGCTTTTTGCTTCTCCAAGTAACAAGATTTCCCCACACATAGGTGCAATAGCCTGATGTAGATCTCCTGTCTACTGATGAGCCTGCCCAATCTGCATCAGTGTAGATTTCAATTGTCCTTTTATACCCCTTTTTAAAGAATAATCCTCTTCCTGGAGTATTCTTGAGGTATCTAAGCACCCTATAGACTGCACTAAGATGCTTCTCCTTGGGTGAGTGCATGAATTGACTAATCATACTCACCGCAAAGGCAATGTCAGGACGCGTATGAGATAAGTAGATTAGTTTACCAACCAATCGCTGATATTGTTCTTTATCCACCTCATTCCCATCTTCAATACCTAACTTGGTATTAGGTTCCACAAGTGTCTCAGCAGGTTTACACCCTAACATTCCTGTTTCCAACAAAAGATCTAGAACATATTTTTTTTGTGTTAGAGTGATGCCTGTTTTGCTCCTAGCAACTTCCATACCAAGGAAATATTTGAGAGTGCCAAGGTCTTTGAGTTCAAATTGAGCTGCTGGAAATTTCTTCAAGGTGTTCAATTCCTCAATATCATCACCTGTAAGAATTATATCATCTACGTATACAATAAGAATAGCAATTTTACCATCCTTAGAGTGTTTGTGGAAGAGAGTATGATCAGTCTGTGCTTGAATGAAGCCTCTTCTTTTGACTGCTTGTGTGAATTTGTCGAACCATTCTCTGGGAGACTGTTTCAATCCATATAGAGACTTTTTTAGTTTACACACTGATCCATTTCCCTTTTCAAAACCAGGTGGAGGATCCATATAGACTTCTTCATGTAAGTCACCATTTAGGAATGCATTCTTCACATCTAACTGTTGCAGAGGCCAATCTAGATTGGCAGCAAGAGATAAGAGAACTCGGATGGTATTGACTTTAGCAACCGGAGCAAAAGTCTCATGATAATCTATCCCATGAGTCTGAGTGAAACCCTTTGCAACCAATCTTGCCTTGTATCTGTTGATGCTATTATCTGCATTGAATTTTATTGTAAACACCCATTTGCATCCTACTGCCTATTTTCCTTTGGGTAGGGTCACTATCTCCCAAGTTCCATTTCTTTTTAAAGCATTCATTTCTTCAAAGACAGCATCCCTCCATTTTTTATCATTGAGAGCCTCATGTATATTTCTCGGTATCTTTGTACTATCCAACATAGTATTGAAAGCACGAAACCCTGGGGACAACTTTCCATATGAAATATGATTAGAAATAGGATGAGTAGTACAAGATCGAGTACCTTTTCTGAGAGCAATGGGCAAGTGTAGATCATTTTCACCATGACACTCAAGTATTGGGGTGTTGGAACTAGAACATGGTTCAGAATCCTGGCAGTGTAGAGGCTCTGGGTTATTCACACTTTGAGGAGGCTTTCGCCTGCTATAAACTTGTCCCCATTTTAAGGAGGCTCCTGATGGTGAGGATTCTGTAGCTCCCCCTGTTTCCAAAATTAGAGGTAATACCGTGGCACCAGTAGGTTCCCATGACTGATCTTCATCTACTCCTATCTCCCCCGGAAGAGAAGTCGAGGGGAAGAAAGGGTCATTTTCAGAAAAAGTGACATCCATAGAGACAAAGACCTTACGAAGAGAGGGTGAATAACATTTATAGCCACGTTGAGTAGGAGAATAACCAATAAAGACACACTGGAGAGACTTAGGATCAAGCTTAGACCGTTGATGGGAGGGAATATGGACAAATGCAACGCAACCAAATAACTTGAGAGGTAAGGAGGAGACACCTCGGAAGGAAGGGAAGATACGAACAAGACTAGAAAGAGGAGACTGAAATTTCAGAATGCGAGATGGCATTCGATTTATCAGATACGAGGCAGTGAGAACTGCCTCTCCCCAAAGAAATTTAGGAACACTCGTGGTAAACATAAGAGCCCGAGCAACTTCAAGGAGATGTCGGTTTTTTCTTTCCGCAACTCCGTTTTGTTGGGGTGTGTCAGGACACGAGCTTTGGTGAAGGATGCCATGTTGGGAAAGATATTCTCCAAGAATAGAGTTAAAATACTCTTTGCCATTATCTGTACAAAGAATTTGTATAGCAACTTGGAATTGGGTTTGAACCATGGCATGAAATTTTTTAAACACGGATGCAGCATCGGACTTATCCTTTAGAAGATACACCCAACAGACTCGAGAATGGTCATCAATGAAGGTAATGAACCATCGAGTACCTGAAATATTTTTAACACGGGCTGGACCCCATATGTCACTATGAATTAAGGAAAATGGGGAAGAGTCATGGTGAACTTTAGAAGGATAATGAGCACGAGTATGCTTGGCAAGTTGACAAATATCACAAGAAAACAAACTTGGACTTTTATGAATAAATAAGTTTGGCAACAACTTCTGAAGATAAATAAAATTTGGATGGCCTAGCCTACGATGCCACATCATAACATCATTACATGAATCAAAAGGAAACATAGAGTTTTTTTCTACGAAAACAGCTTCATGAGTCACATCCTCCTCAAAGTAGTAAAGTCCACCATCCTCTCTAGCACTGCCAATCATCCTCTCCGAGTCCTGTTCCTGAAAAACACAACCATGTGGAAAGAATTTAGCAAAGCAATGCAACTCAGAGGTGAGCTTGCTAATAGAAATGAGATTACAAGTCAGAGAAGGAACATAAAGAACTGATGTCAAAGTAATCAGCTCAGAAAGTTTAATGGTTCTGCGTCCCGCAATCTGGGAAAAACTGCCATCGGCGATCTTGACCCGAGAAGGTTCAGAATATGGAGTGTATGAACAAAACAAGCCAAGATTACCTGTCATATGATCAGAGGCTCCAGAATCAAGGATCCAATGATTTTGACTATCAACATGGAAAGCTGTACCTTGCTGGACCACATGACTAGTGGCCTTAGGAGGTTGAGTCAAAAGTCTCTGAAGTTGTTCAAACTTAGTCTTGCTAAGAAAGACACCATCAGAGTAAGAGGAAGAGTGTTTTGAGGAAGCCATGAATAGAAAGAGAAGGGTTGACCGTTGATGAAAAATCAAGTTTTGTAAATTTTTGATCTGACCTCTGAAACAGGAAGGGGAGAAGCCGGCGAGAAGGTCTGTGCAAGTCGCGGCGGAAAAAGACGTTGGGAAGGCGGCACGTGGAGCTCACGCGCCGGAAACTGGCCGCGCGTGTGACGGCGCGTGGCGGCGCGTGCGGCGGTTGACGGCGATGGGTCCAGCGGCGGTCGACTCGTCGGATCCTTCTGAGTCGAATGGTCACCTCACTTTCTTGATCGGAGGTCAGTAGACTAGGTTTCTGTGTTGGACAGATTCAAGGAGGTGTTTAGGAGGTGTTTGACAGTGATGGAAGTGTTTGGATGGTTATTTCAGATTTGAATTAGGGTAGGAACGAACCCGCTCTTGATACCATATTGAAAAGAAGTTTCTGTATATTGATTTTGAATAATTTACATGAGTGAGTATTTATACAAGAAAGAATCGCTAAGAATGACAAAGCGATGACTAAGCGATGACTAATCAATCCTAATCACAATCAATTCTAATCAATCACAATCAATCCTAATCAATCATAATCAATCCTAATTAATAGGAAATAAAAAAGGAAACATGTTTGGATTCTGTTTTTCTACACAAATGATAAGTTGAAAACAGTTGCTCCAGTAAGATATAAAATTTGCCTACCTGAGGGGATCCAGCCAGAGATGCTTTCTCAGTCAATCTATCAAACAATTTCTCATTTTCTTCATGTAACCTCTGCAAAACATTGAATTGAGCTCCTCACCAAAAACAAATGAAACTAAATTACGCATAAATTCAATACAGCTGAAGAGTTCAACAAATAAATATTCAGAACTTATGGCATGGCACATTTTTTATGCATAGGCCCCTATCCGCGGATGACTTATTAGATCTTTTACAACCTAGAAAGTTCACCAAAAGAGCAAACCAGAATTGTAAGCTCAGATTTCTTGGTTGCAGCTTTAGCATTTTCCCCTTTTTCACTACATATAATAAGATGGTTGGAAAGGATTTTAAAATGGGCAGTCAAAGACTGGGAAGTTGAAGCCGCTTGACCAATGGACATTTGTTTGATAAATCTACCCTCAGTTAAATAAATAAATAATAAGTCAAAAAGAAAAATTGAAGGTGAAAGGAGTCAAAATCAATAATCCCAATTCAATAGGAAAAAAACAATTGGAAGAATACTATAATGAGACAGAAAATTGACAAGTATAGAAACCTCAATCAGAGCATCACGTTTCTTGAGTTCCTCTTCTAGTTTCTTGGTTACTATAGAAGAATCCATGCCATTCCCAGTTGCCCTGGAATTAGATACAGCTCCAGACTCTGGCTCTGGGCCAACATTTGACCTAGTGTTGCTGGATCTAAGGGCTTCAGTGAGTTGTGTTTCAAGACTTCCAATTTTAACCTATATCAGAGGGGAAAAGATTAGCCAGCAAGCATGAAAAAACTGATCACCTGCATCTAATATGGTGCTCTATAGCACAAAGCTATAGCCAATGGCGGCATGCCATGGTCTACAGCGCCATGCCACAGACTAGGCATGTAACAGTTGGATAGCACACTTGTAGTGGCGCAACCAGCAATATGGCAGACTTAGAACTAGCAACCGCCATATGTGCTAACTGGAAATATTAAACTGAAAACTACAGCCACATGGCCCAAACTCTCTTGGACCCCGTCTATCAGCACTATCTGATTGGATTAAAAATTCACTGGCATCCGGTAAATTTATCGCCAGCTACTTGATAAATTTTCACGGAGTACCTAATAAAAATTATTTGTTAACTAAAACAAATTATTAACCTGCAAACTTTGGATGGTCGAATCTCGCTGTTGTATCTGCAAATTTTGATCTTGCTCTAACTGTAACAGTTCAGCAACTTGATTTCTAAGTTGAGCATTTTGTTCTTTCTCTATGTTATAATTATCTGCCAGCAAAATATGCTCTGACTGCAAAATAAAGCAACAATGTAGCTCACTACCAAGCTTTCTGCGCAAAGCTAAAAACAAAGTGTAGCAGCAAAGTATGAATGTTTGCAAAGCATCAGGACATATCTTGTACAAAATATCTACGTATCTCTTAACAAAAGAACATATGACATCAATTATTTCAAACAATAGACAGAACTGGAAAAAGTGAAAGAAAAGCATCAAATTGGGACAATGAGAATAAATAGTCAAATACTGTGTCCTTAAAATTTAAAGGAACATTATTTGACACAAAAATTTCACTCTTCATAATGGAGGACACATAGACAATAGCAAGATAATATGGAAAATTGGTATTCTGGCATGCCAATGAAAGGACAGTCGTATAGCAGATTAGCTCAAGGTAATCAAAATTGAGATCTTACTTAAGATCGGATGAGAGTGGAAGGATCGTAAATCGTGATATCGACACAGATCATTACGATCCTATCTAAGAATATTTAAATCAGCAATAAAATCTAATTAATATTTTTTTATGAGAATATCAATGATTTCAATAATTAATTTTTAATTATAATCTCATTTCATATAAATATGAAAATAATTTATTGTGTTTTATATTTTAAATATGCAAAATATTCAATTAAATAAAATTATACTTTCCATAAAAGATCTATATTATTTACATTTTATTTATTTCAAAATAGATAAAAGTTATGTCAATGGAGAATAATAACATGAAAAAAAAAGTTAAGTCTATGTTCAGCCCAAAATTGGTCCAGGCCCATTCTTCTCCCAAAGTTTAACAAAAGTAGATGAAAACCCTGGATTTCCAAAAGCTACAGCCATCGTACACATTAAACAAAGAAGTCAAGTCACAACTGGGACAGAGATAGAACCAGTGCCTTGCAGTCGCCGGAGAGAGGCTCAAAAAGGTCAAAGCAAGCTCTTTCCGTCACATGGGTATGGCTCTAGTCAACAAGTTTTGTCTTATTTCGATTCGTTGAGGGGTATTGAAGAGAAATTTATTCCCCTTTCATGGATTGTTCAAAACGGTAAAAATCACACAATTCTATTGTTTTTACAATGTTTCTCGGCGATCTTGTCTGATCCCAGCCAAAACTGATTCTGCAATCGAGTTGGATCGTTTATGCCCAAAAAACACTTACAAGTCGCACTATCCTATGAGGGAACGCGATTTTAACTACCATGGATTAGCTGCAATTAGATTTCTATCAGATCCACATAAACAACTGAATCATTTGACTGAACACCCACCTAAAATCCAAGCCAAAAAAGGATATGATACGACTTTTATTAGAAGATAAAGAATATTCGTTAGGAAATATACTTAGTCATTAGAAAGTTAGTTAGGAGATGGTTAGTTAGTTAGGTGGATTGGTTTTGTTTGTATAAAAATGGGGTGTGTCCTGACTATTAGAGTCAGTTTTAGTATCTTTTGGATATAGGTTGAGTGCTAAGTTAAGGGGGGCGAACCGGAGCAGTGGTAAAACTGTTCCTTCATGACTAAAAGGTCATGGGTTCGAATCCAGGAAACATCATTTTTGCAATTATGCAAGGGTAAGGCGGCGTACAAGGATTTCCTCCACCCCACACTCGCTAGTCGGGTTTAACGGAGAGTGGTTTTATAGGTTGAGTGCTAAGTTAGAAGGGGAGTGCCCCTTGGCATGCAAAGTGTCTCTCGTGTGTTATTTTGTTTCTGTTGAGATATATATAACCATTATGTAGCATCACCCAACCACTTAAGCTTTTGGGTTGAATGGTTCTTTACAGTTTCTCTTCTCATCAATAAACACATCCTATTTTCTTCGATTCCCGTTTTTTCTTTTCGCTTCCATCTTTAAAGAAACCAGAACTGTAACAATTGGTCTGACCTCCCGATCTTGGAGGAGGCTGCGCTCTAGAGAGTTCAACGATAAAGGAGACCAACGAATGTGATTATTGGGATTCCAAGATTGCAGAGATTAAGGAGATGTTGATATTGCTAAACATCCCAAAAAGTGAGTCGGAGAAAAAAAAAGGGAGAAGGTATCCTCTGAAAGTAAAAAGAAGCAATCTTGGGAAGAGAAGGAAATTTTTTCTGCCATGGGTGCTTCTGGGTCAATAATAGAGCACTGCACAGATGAAGAGACAAAAAATTTGATGAAGATGCGTGCAGAGGTAGTTTCAAAATCAGAAACCAATATAGAAAAAAATGAGATAAAAGAAAAAGATGGATCTCACGCTTGGTCTAATGGGTCAGAAATGATTTTCAAGGTTTACTCACAATGACTGTGGTTCAAAACAAAAAATCACAAGAGGAAAAAAAACGGAGAGATACTAGAGACTGAGAATGGGGTACAGAAAGTCAAGACAGAAGTTGAAGAAGTACATCAGTCTCACATTTTATTTGGTGGGCCAGAAAAGAACTTGGAAGAGTTACAAGAAAAGCTAGTCATCGAATTGAAGATGGGGGACATCGAAGAAGAAGATGGAGAAAGGGCAAGAATAATTCAGGAATATCTAGAACAGAGTTGCTAAGGAAAAGAGGAACCTTGATGATTTTTCTTGCGTGCATGCTGCCTTTGTCAAAACCACCAGATACTGGCCTTGGGCCAACGGCCAGTGGGAGAATGGGAGGTGAGAGACGAGTTGTTATTTTTTTTGTGCGAGATGAACTGTCGAAGGACAACAGAATTTTCTCAACTGAGAAGTTGTCTGTTGGAAAGGTATATTGCAAAAAAAGGTGAGTGCGTACGAAGGAAGGAGCAAGGAGGGTAGAATCAGAATTCTGTGATATGGGTCTGATTTTTTGCTTAGTGGGCCAATCCCAAACTGACTTTAGAATAAGAAAATATGGACACATAAATGAAAAATCTGAAGCATCAGGATATTGCCAATGGCTGGTTTCATATATCAAAAGGGTGGATCGAATATCAAACCGCATCACCATTGTCTGCATGTCTTTGGTGCTCTCCGTCGCCAAGGTCATGGTGTTGCTGCCAAAGACCCAAGATGGTGTAAAGGTCAGTGGTGGTCCTATAGAAATTGTTCACTCGCCGTCCAAAATTCCTCACTGCCTATGTTCGATGAACAATGTCAAACGGTGGCCGTTGATGTTGGGTGGCATGATCTTCCTATTATAAGTTTATAACAACTAGTTTTCTTCTAGCAATGAGGAGGGAGAACATTCGGGTCAGCGATTTTATGTTGGGTTCCATGTTGAAATGTTGTGCGCCTGTGAAGATCCAAGAACTTCACAGACAATTTCATGGTTTGGTGATGTCTACGGGGCTTGATTTGACTGTTTTGAGTACTACTCTTATCAATTTTTATTCCAATATCAGAAGTGATGATGAAGCCATAGTGATCAGCATTCTACTCTCTCCCCCTGTTTGTAGAACAGGTCTCCGTGATTACTATGGTGTAGGTAAGAAGCCCATGGGGTTAGGTATGAGAAAGTCAAATCTCGACAAGGGCAGGTATGCATTATCTTCGGATTTGGCTTCTTACAAGCAATTGACATTCCACAAGGTACTGACCTATACTCCTGAGGGCCTTGTTATGTACATCATAGAAGAGGAGATGTGGTAGGTTAAAAGAATTGAGAAAGACCGGGACAAGAAAGGTGTAGAGAGGGTAGAGACAGGATTCAACGAAATGGGTTTCAACTATTGCTATAGGGGTCAGACCTAAGCCAAGTGTAAGGGGGAAATTTGCTGGGTTTGGGTACCCTCAATGGTTGGGCTCGGGTTTTAGCATGGCAAGGTGGGGTGTCATCATCAACCCAAAAGTCATTGCTGCCCAGTGTCTGCGATTTGCGAAAGATCGAGGCCGTTAACATTGAGTGTAGTGTAACCAACCAGCTCGGTGATGTTCTGGGTGGAATTCAGGAGTTTGTTGATTGGTGTGGGTATTATGGTGATTCAGAATTAGAGTTTTCAGCAGGTTCCATTGATGAAAGAGATTGATGACTGCTTGTTCTACGAGTACAATGTTGAAGGAGATTGTTTGAGCAAAGTTCCCATGTACCAATTTGGTAACTTTGGGTTCTTAAGTTTGGGTTCAACATCTGCGACAATTCCCAATCCCCACAAGGAAGAAAGAAGCATTAACAATAATAATTTTGCAAAAATCTCATTGATTCAATGATGCATGTGCAGCTGCAGTATTCTGAAGGGATCAAATGAATACTTGAAGGAAGTACTCTACCTCAAGCTCTTCAAAGATGATAAGTGCTCACGGGGAAGAAACTTTGAAGCTGAATCTGAAATTATAAAGTTCTTGGGAGGATGTCATTACAACATAGGGACACTTTTAATCTTTCAAGTTTCAACCTTGAGGACAAGGTTCCTTCATAGGGGGGTGGTATTGATACGACTTGTATTAGGAGATAAAGTATATTTCTTAGGAAATATACTTAGTCATTAGAAAGTTAGTAAGGAGATGGTTAGTTAGTTAGGTGGATTGGTTGGGGTGTCCTTACTATTGGAGTCAGTTTTAGTATTTTCTGAATATAGGCAGAGTGCTCAGTTAGAAAGGGAGTGCCCCTTGGCAAGAGAAGTGTCTCTTGTGTGTTGTTTTGTTTATCTTCTAATCAATAAACACATCATATTTTCTTCCATTCCCATTTTTTCTTTTCTTTTCCATCTTTAAAGAAACCAGAACCGTAACAGGATATTAGAAAATTCTAGAAGGAACTAGATAGAATCTTTGATTGCGTTTTAACCACTCTAGATAATTATTTAAATGCTGTCTAAACGTTCTCCTACTACTTGCCACGTGAAAAGAGCATAGAATAACCTAATGGATCAACATCATTGAAGTATACCATGTGTAAAAAACAGAATTGCCAAACCACTTAGTAACCAGTCACTATATATGACTGTAAAATTATGCCCAACTCATTAAAATACCAAACCTTTAAATCTGTCTGCAATGCAGAAGAAACTTTCCACGCCTTCTGTACTTCATTGAAGAGTAGAACACATTGATCATTTGCATCTTTAAGTGCTTGCTTGAGTCCCAGACCCTCTTGTTTCAAGTCTTGGATTTCTTTTTCCTTCTCATACAACTCCTTACGTGCATCATTCGCCTATAAGAACCATGGCAACTTAATTTAGAAGATAAATAGAAAATTCGCAATATATTTTTTACAAAAGGGGCTTGGAAACAGAGAAAAATTGATTTTCCTATAAATGCTCAGAAAGTTTATATAAGGAAAATATAGCAAGGTCCAAGCAGTTTCTCAGTTACAACATTCATGAATCTTGCATTATATGTACTTTTTCCAATAAAGTAGCAAATCACAATTTAAATCAAATAAGAGAAAGGAGGCGTTCTATGTTAAAACCACCATTATATCCACAAAATATTTATCATACTTAATATGTACAAGTAATGATTTTTGACTGCTTCCCACAAAATTGAAACAGGTTTAAAAGAAAAGCAATCCAGAAGTAGAATACTATCATTTGCAAAGGAGGAATGCAGTTAGGGAAGAACTTACAATATCTCTCCACTTCTTAATTGTATCCCGGTTTCCAAGGCTTAATACAGAATTTCGAGCTCTGGCAGAGAAATTTAGAGACAGTAATGTCTCGGATAAATTTGAAACATTTGGACACACATTTACAATCATCAGAGTTTTTGAACTCCCACCTAAAACATCAAAGAAAATATACAACAAAAATGTGATCATGTGTCTGAAACCAAGCAGAAATAACTGAATTCCAAATTTACCTTAAGAGTCAATTTCCTAGACAGAAAGGAAAAAGAGCTAGAACGACCACAGTAAAAAACGGATGCAAATCCTTATCTTTTTATAATATAAGAAATGCAAGTAAATGTTCAGAGTGTCACTCCACTCTTATGCCTGAGTTTTTCTATTCCACAAGGGATAAGAAGTTATCCTTTGAAGGAATAATAATTCAAAGTTTAAATTAAAATTTTGGTCCCTATAGTTTCCTTTCATTTTCAATTTTGTCTCTAGTTTTTTTCTTTAAAAATCAGCCCATAGCCTTAATACTTACAAAGGTTTTCAAAATAGTCCACGCCATTATAACACCGTCAGTCAGTTAACTCAGTAAGTGTTTCTTTATCCAATAGATGCTCCTTTACGTGCTTCTCTTTATCTTATTTTATTTTATTTTATTTTGTACAACGTCTCACGGATGCTCCTTCATTCTAGTAGGCGCTCCTGTAAATGCTCAATTCTTCTGAGTATGTGCTCTTTTGTTCAGTACGTGCTCATTTAGATGCTCTTTTTTACTTTAAAATGTCTACTAGGGATTAAATTGACTTTGTTATAACAGAAAATGGCGGTAGGAACTATTTTGAAAATGTTTGTGTGGACATATTTGAAAAAAATAACTGCAGGGACTAAATTTAAAATCAGTGTAGTCTACATGGACTCAAGTTTTAATTTAACCTAATTCATAACTAAAAAACTTTCAATAGCTTAGAAAATCAACTTTATTAGCATGGTATCACCAAAGTTGGGCACAAGAAAAAGTGTATTTCATTTATGGATTGGCCAATATAGGTTCCATAACATAACATTACGCTTGGCAGTGCTTGAGGCAACGTGTTACCTTTTATCTGTGCCAAAGGAAAAATTCTTTTACTAACAATAGAGAAGAAGCCTACTATTCTTCTCAATGGAACTGTGCAAGCGACTTCAGATTTTCTTATTATGGAGAGAGAAGTTTCTGCTAGTTATCATCTTATAATTATCTTTTATATCTGCCAATACGTTTCCTTGAAGTTTTTGTAGGAGGGTACCTTGTCCTCCGCTTACATGAGTTCCCCAAAAACTTTTAATAAATTATTTCCTTTTGTTTGGGTAGGAAAAAAAAAGAAAATTATATCTTTATTTGGACGGTGCTAAAGAAATCTTCTGCATGCAGAAGCCAAAAACAAAAAATATAATCAAGAAACAGTTCCAGAAACAGAAGGTCCTCATAAGTTATAGGGTTTTATAATTCTCATGTAACATGAGAGTTGGAATTTTTCTACACACCCTTCGATTTTCGTGCTGATATGGGTCCCACATATGATTTTAACTAACATATGGGTTTCACGTGCTTTTTATCTCTATGACATGAGATTTCAATTCTCATGTAAAATGAGAATTATAAAACCCTACGTTATAATGCCTATAAGAAACTAGTTTTGACATAAATATATAAAACTAAGATAACCAAAAATATTAACAACACCAGAAGGATACATATGCTGCAATGCATTTCAAATTTAAGCTAGAAAACTGACGGACAATAACATGAAGTCAGAATAAGACCGATGCCACTTCATGGGGACCAGGTCTGGGTTAATTTAACAACAGTCCAATTATAGAACGATGATGTTATAGTAAAAATTAGGCAGAATATCTAAGTATTGACTAGATAGCATATTGCCATGCAAAAGCCACAGCCAACTTGTAAAAACTTATTAGCATCGAAAGAGGCACAGACAATTTTCAGTTGACATTATTAAATCAAGAATCAAATTGTACAATATCTGACAACTTAAAGACCAAATAGATGTCACCATAAACTTATAAATAAAAAAGGGAATAAGAAATAATACCAAGTGAATCTGCAAACAGTTGCGTTAGCACCGAGTTTTCATAAGGAACAACATCCTTTTTTGATGTCAAAGAAGACAAAACATCTCCCAACCTGCAAAGACATTTTCAAATGCTGCAAGAATTTAGACCGAGAAATTTCTCGAACATAAAACTTCATATTCTTATCACTAACTTGCTAAAACTTCAACACGAATGAGCAAGAAAATTCATAAATTTAACTAGGAGAAATCAGATTATATTCTAGTATTGTGAATTTAAATAAATATTACCTAATTTGTGGAAAAAAGTTTGCCAAGCAGGTCCAGGTACATAGAGGTGTGACACTAAGCATAATTCACAATACAGGGAGGTGGTAGGCTTAGTCATACACTATTTGGGATCGCAGTACATTTAAAAACTCTTTTGGCTCGCTATATCTATGATTTACATAATGATCAGAATTTATTACCCATCAATTACTACATTGTGCAGCTGCTATCTCTTTAAGGAATAGATTATTCGCCCTGTTTGGTGAATCCTGTGCATGTCCTAGGTCCTTGGACCAATTTTTGTCGACTAGCTTTGGTGGCCTTGGTAGAAATAAACAGGCTAAATTTTTATAGTGATTGGAATCTATGCTACTATTTGGTGGATTTGGTTGGAGCATGACGCTCATACTTTTAAGGATGTTTAATTGACTCAGCAGCTAATTTGGGATGAGATCAGATGATTGGCTTCTATTTGGTCTGAAGCACGTGTTCATTTAAAAGTGGGTTTTCTTAATAGATATAAAAAGGGATTAGGCAGCTTCACCCCATTGACGTTTTCTTTTTTTTCTATTTTTTTATTTTCCCCTTTATGCTATAAAGGATCCTTTGTACTTTTGTTCTCTTTGACTTACTGAATATCTTCTTTTATAAGTGAAATACTTAAATTAATCTAATCATGTGAACTTTTATAATTATTGATAGTATATAAATCTTTCAAATGTTCATGGATCACATTTGAATTTTTGACTATTAATACCATTACTATAGCTAAGCCTATGCGGGTGATTATGGTCATGTGATATTTTATTTATTTTATGTAATGTTCATTATACTCTATCTTTTTGTAATCAATAATTCTTCTAAATAATACAAGTAACATTGAAATTAAAATTAAAATTCTTAATTTAATAAAAATGAGCTAAGGCTTATAAATCATTGAAACAATAATAATATTTCTTGTTATTACATATAAACCAAGAGAGAAACAGATAAAACAAAAAGAGAAAAGCAATTTTTTGTGGGCGAGGGGGGAGCCCAAATAGTTTTATGCCAATATGTTTTAGATTAAACATTGCCATTTGGAGATCTTCATCTACAACCAAGGTCCTTTGCGGCTGCCCTAAGGAGTAGGTGCCATAATGCTCAGTGTCCCTATAATCAGTGAGCAGGACCTCTTCCTTACTCTCAATGCATTTCAAATTCTCTTTTAACACTCTCATTAAGGACTAAAGAAACTGAAATTTATGAGTTCACCAGTGATCCTTCTATCTTCCTTGCCAAAGCCAGATTAATCAAAGACCCTAGCCTCTTTGACTTGAGATCAGCATTTTCATTGATTTGGATTCATAAACACATTGCATTTAGGGGTCATGCAATCCAATTTGCCATTTACGAGGAACCAACAAATCAGGTAACACTGATATAGAGTATATACACTCTTTATAAGTGTTGCCTAACAGCCATGATCCCACAAGGAAAACACGAAGCTGAACTAGACATAGGAGGCTAATTATCTCTATATTCTACCCCAGGCAGAATGTAACATCCCAAGCACTGACGAGGGCGGGGAGTGATCGCCGGTGCGAAAGGGCACAGACAAGGAGCGGCTCTTGAATCAAATTGACACCCAAAATAGAGGGATTCCAAATACTGTGCAGATATGAGACTGCACAGTTGGAGATAGCTTATAAGAATTAATTGGTACTACCTATACTAACAATATGCATCTACTTTTCGCTCGCCCATAACGGAAAAACTCCATAGTTAAGCGGCTCCTGGCAGGCTTCCAGCAGGGGGTACATGAATGAATCGAATCGACACTCGAAAGAGAGGGATTCCAAAGACTGAGCAGGTATGAGACTGTACAGTTTGGGATAGCTTATAAGAATTAATTGGTACTACCTATACTAACAAGATGCATCTACTTTTCGGTAGCCTAAAACGGAATAACTCCATAGTTAAGCGTGATTGACTTGGAGCAATTCTGGGATGGGTAGTCAGGATAAAGCACGCTGAAAAGTTTCGTGTTAGTGTGTGGGGATAGTCATTGATCTTGAAGCGGCCAGGCGTTACACAGAATCAGAGATAAAAAGACGCCATTTGCCTAACCTAGTACCATTGACACCAGGTACTGAAAACTGACAAACAACCAAAAATATAGGAAAACAGAGAGAATACTCAGAGCATCTGCATTTGGCACCAAATCACATGGGTGGACAAAAAACACTTGCTGAGTATTCAGTAAAAAAGCAATAAAGTTTACAATGAAGAAAAATATAAAGAATTAAAAAGACATACGCTGAAAGTGACTTCATAACATGCAGCAAATCCGTGACACGCTCACCGCTATCATCTTCTGTTATTAAACCTTCACTTCCAGCCAAATCAACCAGAGAGAGTTTGCTATATGAGTTTTCCCCGGTGATTAAATTGTTATAAAATATGTGTATTGTAACAATCCTGACAAGACAAGGCATGAAATCCACATATTTGAATTAGAGTACAGCGCTCAGAGAACATTGACCAACGCATGACAGATGAACACAAATTTCAAAACAGTAACAACCACAATAAACTTAAATATTATCATGGTGGTGATAAATTTGAAGTAACATTAAGACAAAGTAAAACTGATGGATATTGTGGTTTAATAAGCTCAAAATCTTTTAAGATTCAGTACTTAAAATTTCCTGCTTCCTTTTGTTACTTTAATGAGTTATACAAAGTAGAATATGTAAAAAAAAAAAAAAAAAGTTAAAAATATATTTAGTGTTAGGTATATTAATATAAAAGCTTTCATATGTCTTCATACAACAGATTAAGCTTTTGGGATAGTTATTTGTGACATGATATTAGAACTTCTATGACTCAGTCGTCTAAAGTTTGGTTCTTGCTGCCCCTCATTCTTCTAATAAAAAGTTGAATTTCAGCACAAGGTAAGTGATCTTGTGTATTGTCCATGCCTCAAGCCCATAGGGCTCTTGCATGGGGGACCTGTTAGAAATGTTGACATAACACCATTTGTATGTCTTCATGTAACATACAAATTAAGCTTTTGGAATAGTTAGTACATGATATTTAGCAAAATATATTACATCCTAAAACACAATCTGTAATTTGTGCATCGAAATCACCAGCTACATTGGAAAGAGTATGCTATGATTGCTACAATACAAGTCTATCATGCAATAACAAACAGTAAACACAAAGCCAATGTACAATATAACCAAAGCATTCTGTAGGCAGAGAGTAGAGACCATACAAATGAGAAACATTAATCTTTAATGGATTATTTCCTCGACTTTGAAATGCAGCCTTCAAAACCCTAGAAAAGTCCAGAGGGTTATCAACTTTTTCCTGCACTAGTTCTATGAAATATTCAGGTGATCCAAACAGGATTTTAGGCATGCTTTTCCCCGACTCCAAGAGCAGATCCCTTGTCTGCAAGCAAATAAAAGGAGAATATGAAAACTTTAATAATCCTAAGTCAACCTAATCCAGGAAGCAAACCATAGACCCACCAGAAAGGGAGTACGAAGAGAAAAGAGAAAGAGACCTGTTCATTATAGAGCTCAAAAACAGTAATGTAGAATTTATATTGAGAAGTAGCAGTTGTATCCGAGTTGGCTAAATCAAACAACTCCTCAAAACAACGAGCATATAAACCCCGATCATAGCTTGATCCTTCCTAAGAACAATGAATGAACATTAAAGATGCAAATTCTCAGGCCCAACATTATTGACTCAAGAAGTAAAGAACATGTATCAATAATCAAGTTCAACCATAGGATAGACATCTTAATTTTAAATCAACACTAAATTCTAGACATTCCTTCAACTATTTATTTCTTTTGAAAGGGAGGGATAATGATCTGCACACACACACACACAGTGAAAGACAGAAAGAACAACCATAGTGTGTGTCTTTCCAGAATGTGTTTGTCCATATGCAAATAAGGAAACATTGTATCCATCCAAAGCTGATTGGACCATTGGCTGAACATCACTGAACAACTCAGCTGCGAACAGAATATAAAAGGTAAGATAAGTAAGAAGCATATCAGACCAATACCAGGGTTTGAACTTGGAGCACACATAAGATGGTAATATAATTAGAAACATTTTACCCTGTCCAACATGAGGTCCATAGACTCTGTCCAATTCAAAATCTTTCTTGGAGTTAGACAAGGATTTATCACCGGTATTTACACGGATGGTATAGTCATCAGGAAATTCAACAACTGAGGGACCTTCATCTTCAAATAATGGCCTAGTACGACAGAATACCCGTATGTTGCCTGCAAATAACAGCACCTGCTTTAACAGCTAGATAGATGTTTTTCGCTCAGCAAAACATACATTTGAAAATGCTTAAAATTAGGCAGACCATGTAGTTAACTAGCTTAAGTTGCAGTCATAATGTATAAACAAAACTATTGAGGGACAAAAAACGAAGTCAATACAAAGAAACTAATAATAGTAAAGGAACTAAACCAAGCACTCACCTTTAGATGTCAATAAGTCATTGAACAATCTCCTCTTCTCATTGGTCACCAAAGATATTCTCGCTCCGGTTTCAAGGGCAACTTGATCTGACATTCACAAATGGGCCACAATTCAAAATTAAAAGACAGAAAATCAACAGTGCAATGGCTTTACAAGAATAGATAAGGTCAGGGTGGGTGTATTGAAATTTCATGTAACTGCAATTACTTCAAGAAATCAATGCATTAGATATACAATGGCTACATTTATCACGGTTGCACAGAACATCAGTCCTTTTAACGGACTGCAAAACATGATTCCCATCTGGAGTATAAAGAATAAATCTCATGCTTGCAACACATTTCAGATAAAATTGCTACATTAGTTAGGGTTTGAACAACATGATTCCCAACATGAGTTTCGAGAAAATCTCATGCAGGCACTGAAATTAAGGTCCTGTATATCCAGATGGGTTTATTTAAAGCTTATTTGGGCTTCTCTACTACAACAACTACTTGTGAAAAAATTTATTGGATGAGCTTATCAAAACAGCATTGAAACCCTTATAAGTTGTTTTGCGCTCATTTTCATGAGCTGAAATTGCAGCTTATGGAAATAAGACTCTGATGCTGAAAACAGATTGACTGGTGGCTGAGTTTATAATACATTCCAACTAGATTGGCCTTAATGAATTATCAAAATCCCTAATGTTCATATTTCAAGCATAGGCACTTCTCAGCAGAACTATCCAGCCCCAATTAAATGGATTTACCACAGGAAGAAAAGAGAATTGTAGTAAATCAGCACTCGTGAGACATGCAACACTGGGAAAGGGAATAAAAAATTATACATGTGTGACAGAGGAGTAGAAAATAAAATGAAGATTCAGTTAGTTGAGAAGGAAAATAAAAAGGGGAGCAGGGAGAGAGAGAGAGAGAGAGAGAGAGAGAGAAGGAAGGAAGAAGTGAGTAGATAGGGAGGGAGAGTACAGGCCTCTCATATGCCAGTTTTATCCGCATTTTCATCTTTTTCGGAGTAATTCACAATTCCACCCACAGATCTGTGTATGCAGGCATCTGTTACTGATATCACACTGATCTCAGTAGCAGAGCTACAGTGAATAATACTATCTACCTCATATTTCTTGTTCCAGTTCTAATACACTTATAAAAGTAGAGCTTATTTAAAGAAGCTCTACTTAAATAAGCACTTATTTAAGCTGTTTATCCAAATAGACCTAAGTGACCCAATCAAGCAAAAGAATTCACAAGAAAAATAACAAATCTTAAAACGTTCTGCATATCTAAAGAACCATAAGTCAACAAAAAATAGTTTATTACCTAACTTGCGGGTTTTTTCAGCAAGAACACCAAGATATCGTGTAACTCGATCAAGTTTTGCATTTGAATATTCCAGAAGTTCACTTGCTTCTTGTCTTAACTGCAAGAAGTCTTTTCTAGCAAGCTGTGCAAAATACCTGATGTGATTGTTAACACATGCCTAAAACAACAAAAGAATGACCCACAAAGATTGGCTAGGACACCACATAAAAACAAAATTTCAAACCAACAAGACTGACTCGTAAGAATGTGCAAGTACTTTACATAGAATAAAAGATATTCTAGAGAAGCACATCCTCCAACCTTCTTTTACTTTTGTACATGGCAGCATGGAGTTTCAAACCTAATACCCACCACAAACTGCCCAAACCCCCCCACATCAATCCAATCAATTAAAAGTTACAAAAAAGAGATCTTCAATAATTTACTAATGTTCCCTTCTCCAACCTAATTTTTATATACTACAATTATGAGATAGCATAAGATTCATCTTTGCTAAGATTTTTTAGCCATCATCTTTTCTTACTAAAATTATGTACATAACACTAGGTTCCAAAATTAGACAATTCCAAGGAAACTTTTCCGAAAGAGGACAACTTGTACTCTGTTTTATATAACAATGATCCTTTTTCTCTATTTGCACATCAAATCTTCAAACTCTAAAAATTAGTACTTGGTATGATCCTAAAATTAAGCGTGGTGGGCCCATAACCCACAGGTCCCTGGATCGGATAACTCTGATACCAATTGATAAGAATTGATTTTCAGAATGAATAATAAAGGATCTAAACATACCCTTTGGCCCATAAGAACTGGATTTTCTGATATATATTGAAGAAGAAACACAATTACAGTAAGGAAATGAGACAGAAACAAAATACAGAAAGAAAGCTACTACAATGTGATAACGACACAAGGGTTCAGCACATTTGAGAGGTGCTGAGGCTCTCCCAAGTTCCAATCCAATTCCATCCTCCCTCTCCTCCCGACCCTGCTGCCTTTTAACCACCTAACACTCTCTCATTGCCACCTCATCACTTCTAACAGAATTGGAGCTTCCCTCCAACAACCTCACCTCTAGAATATTTCCTTTATTAGCTGAGTCATCCCCCCTAAATAATCCCCAACTACCAACCTTACATACACCTACATCAGTATATATGTATATATTCCTGTCATCTACCTTCTCAGTGTTCTTGATTATATTAGTCTAACAGCCTCTCCCAACATGTTCTAGGTCTAAATTCATAAAATTGAAACCGAAAGACCACACTCATTGTGTCCTTCTTCATAACGGAATCACCAAGCACTAAAATCATGACAAGTTGCAATTGCCGATTTAAGTGAAGTTCACTCAAAAACCATAGACAATTTGTGCCCACATTGATGTTTACGGAAAGAAGGGACGCCAAATCTTCAATCGATAAAACTCATTAACGTGATCATGCAAATGAGAACATGGGCAGACCGATATGGTAGGTTGTGGGGCAAATGCCCCCACTAAATTTAAAAATTTTATATTATAGATATAATTAGTTTGCATTATTACCCCCTTCCCCCATGTATTTTCAATTACCTCCACTGTGTATTCTGAATTGTTGCCATTACAGCTTATTAGTTAACAAATTGAATGGCTAACAGTTAGAAAAGTAACCTATAGACTTCTCTAATATGCTATTGCTGGCTAATGAGAGAAGTAACTACTCATTTTCCACAATTATTAAGAAAACAAAAAATATATTATTTCCATAATCTACCGTTCAGTTGTCATTTGTGCATAATTTAATTAAAAAGTGTTAATACTTAATAGCATTATTCTTCGCAAATTATTAATTTCATACTAAATATATAAATTTAATTGATATTAGCCGATCGAAAAAATTTAAACTGGATGCGGGGTAGGTTTAATTAAAGTTTTAAGTGTAATGGAATTTAGCTACACTTCGATATATTAAGTGGCAAAAGGTTATGCATATTTACTGGTGGACAAATAACATATATAGCCTTTTTACTCTTAAAAACTAATCTTACTAGTTCTAATGTATCCTATTAATTTTGTTTTAGTATGAATTTTAAGGAGAAGAAAGATAACTTTTATTTTTTGCTTAGAAATTGCAAATATTAATTTAAACCAATTTTATAAATATACATTTTTTTCAGTAAAGAGGTGCAACACGAGGACTTCCCAGGAGGTCACCCATCCTAGTACTACTCTCGCCCAAGCACGCTTAACTGCGGAGTTCTGATGGGATCCTGTAAATCAATTTGGATTTATGCCAGGAAGATGTACCATGGAAGCCATTTTCTTGATGCGACAACTAATGGAAAGATATCGAGAAAAGAAGAAGGACTTACATATGGTGTTCATAGACCTTAAAAAAGCATACGATAAGGTTCCAAGGAAAGTTTTATGGTGGGTTCTGGAGAAGAAAAAGGTACCATCAAAGTATGTAAAGGCAATCAAGGATATGTATGATGAGGCTACTACATGTGTGAAAGCTTGTAACGGAACATCAAGTTATTTCCCTATCACGGTAGGTGTACACCAAGAGTCGGCTCTAAGTCCTTATCTCTTTGTCTTAGTTATGGATGAACTAACAAAAGATATTCAAGAGGAAGTGCCACGGTGTATGCTTTTTGCAGACGATATTGTGCTTATTGATGAGAGCAAGGATGGTGTTAATAGAAATCTTGAATTGTGGAGAAGCACATTGGAATCTAAAGGATTCACATTAAGTCGAAGCAAGACTGAGTATCTGAAGTGTGAGTTTTCTCTGGTAAGAGATGTAGACCAAGATCCCGTGCATCTAAGTGGTCAAAAGGTACCCAAGAAAGACGTTTTAAATACCTGGGCTCCATTTTGCAAAAAAGTGGAGAGATTGATGAGGATGTAAATCATAGAATCAGAGCAGGGTGGATGAAATGGCGCAGTGCATCTGGGTTTTTGTGCGACCGCAAAATCCCCCTTAAGTTAAAAGGAAAATTCTATAAAACAGCAGTAAGACCTGCAATGCTATATGGAGCTGAATGCTGGCCAGCATATAGGCAACATGAGCATAAAATGGGAGTAGCACAGATGAGGATGTTAAGGTGGATGTGTGGTTATACGAGGATGGATAAGATAAGAAATGAAGATATTCGACGAAAGGTAGGAGTACTACCGGTGGCTGAGAAGATGAGAGAACATAGATTGAGGTGGTTTGGGCACGTAATGAGAAGCCCCCTGGATGCTCCCGTAAGAACAGAAGTTTGTTACCAAGACCTCAACACAATAAGAGGTAGAGGTAGACCGAAACTTACTTGGGGGAAGATAGTAAAACAAGATTTAATGGAGTGGGATATAGATTGGCGAACGGTATGCCTTAGAACGGAATCGAGAAAAGCTATAAGCATGGTGGAGGGTTAGACCCGTTGTTATTCCTATGTTCCAGATGGTCCCTTTTTAGTCCTTTTCCCCATCATTTCCCCCTCTTCTTCTTTTCCCTTTCTTGTTTACTTTTATTTTTTATATATATATATATATTATTACTATTCTATTTATTTATTTTTATTTTTACTTTTATGTTTCTTTTTTTCAACCTTTTTGTATCTTTCATTTGGGTTCATCTACCACCAACCTCAATTAATTTGGGATAAAGGTGTTGTTGATATTGATGTTGACATTTTTTCAGTAACTATTTCTTTATTCATACAAAGAGGGAGAGCCTCGAGCAATGGTAAAGCTGTTTTTTTGTGATTGAAAAGTCATAGGTTCAAATCCAAGAAATAGTCTATTTGAAATATGCAAGGGTAAGGCCACATAAAAAAATTACCTTCACCCCTACCCTCGCTAGTCGAGGTTGAACTGGGAGTGATTTTTTCATTATTATTATTTTTTTCACTGGTAATCATTTTCAATAAAAATTTAAAATACTTAGTTTTTTCATAGAATAAAATTTCTTAGCCCACCACCACTGATTGGAAAGATATTTTCACCTCTTGACTCTGTAAGAAATTCTATGCAGTTTTTGAAGGCATCTAGACACAGAAATTTGATGTGCATCTTAAATGCAAAGCAACACAAGGAGAAAGGAAAGCAATTGGCATCGTCGAATCCGGAATCTTAATTAATACAGACTGAATCTGATATGTGCTCAGAAGTTACCACCTATTATTATATTCTAAATACTCTGATATACTATTTTCAATAAGGACAGTGAATCCCTTCTTTCCTTACATTCCTCTCTGTATTATCTATCCTGTTGCCCAACACTAAAAGCTTACAACTGGAAGTGGAAACAGCTAAGGCAACAATCAGACACGCACCTGGCTGACAAATGAAACAAACTTTGGAAAATGGAAATTTATTATGCAGGATGAAAACAGCAAATTTTTTTCCATTTTCAAAGGAAAAAAAAATGTTCAATAACATTCCAGCTTTACCAGAATTTCATAACATTTTAAGCAAACAATATCCTCAATTGCAAGAAGACTTCACTTCGAATTCCAAAACTAATTAACAATCTAATCCCTCGTCATTAGCAGTAACTAAAATTCTCCACAAAAAAAAAAAAAAAAAATCATCATGCATACATACAAAACCGATGCCAAAGCGGTAGGTAGCGACTGAAACTCTACCGGAAGAGCTCAAAACCAAAATTTCAGTTTCAGGCACCGGATTCGAAAGAGGAAGAATAACGCGCAACGCGTGGAAATGAAAACGCATTACCTTAACCTTGTCCCTCAGTCCCTGAACCTTGGAAGCAACGGAGTGCGAAGGAACCAAGGGGGAGGTGGAGTATCTCCTCACCAACGGCGCAGTAGGTTTCTGATCGTCTTGCTCCGGCGACGGCGACGGCGACTTCCAGGGCTCGAAGCCGGTAATGTCCCAGCTCCAGCGGTTCCTCTGCTCCGCCATTGGCGTTGCCGCAAAACACCAAAAACCCTCTCAGATTTCCTCCTCTTCTTCGAAATCGAAGCCAAAGATTGCAGAAGCGGAATAATAATATTATAAATACAGAGTAAAGAACTTTTTGATCCCTAACAAAAAAAAACGCTCTCCACGTTAGTTCCTTACAAGAATAAACTAGTTAGTTACTCCCTAACAAATTCAAGGTGTACCCATTTTAGTCCTTTTGAGGGACCGTCTTTTTTGAATTTGTGAGGGACCACAATTTCAACTAAACGGGTCCACTTTGAATTTGTTAGGTACTAACTGACTAATTTATTTTTGCAAGGGAGGGACCGTGTTTTTTGTTAGAGACTAAAAAGAGTATTTACTCGTAAATATAATAGCTATGTTGTTTTAAAAGTAAATAAAAAAATAGATAATAAAAAAAAAAAAAAAAAAAAGCAAACACCTAAGCTTTTTGGTGTTTATTGTTTAACATCATTACAGTACTACTAGCTGTGCCTGTTATAATAAAGGAGGTAACGCATGCATAGGTGTCGTTTCGAGTAATCGTGACACTTGGGCTTTTATCATTCTTAGAGGTTCTTCTAAGGATAAGACTTGCACGTGACGAGCGTGTCCAGAAATTAATGGAGTTTTGCATTTCATGTGTAGAAACAAAAAAGGATCATAAAGGTTGCATGAAGTTTTTTATAGTGAACAAATATTGAACTGCTCGTCGTAAAGTAATTTAATTTCCAATATCTTATGTATAAGCCAGTATCTAATTAAAGTAGTATTTTATTTTTTAAATTAAAAAAACATAAACTACTAAAAAAATTACTAATTATGAAAAATGATTATTCAAATTAATCTACTTCTTATATTTGACCAGTGGATCACGTCTTTTTTTTCTTTTCTTTTTTATAACAAGTGGATCACATTTTTACTAATCACATATTCGTGACTTTATACTTTATTAAAATGATGACCAATCATAGCTTCGTTTCATTATGTACACATTAACTCTTAACTATTTAAGCGATGATGACTCGTATACTTTATATTTGAATTTGAATTAAAAAAAGAACTGGGAAAGATTTCCTTTAGTAGATGCGAAAAGTTTATGGAATTTATTTCTTTAATATTGTATATTATATTTCATATAAGTGATGTATATGACTTTTCTAAGAAAAATGTTGTGATAAAATATTTTATAAATATTTAGTAGACTGATTTAAATTTGTTATCTCACATTAATTGTTTGCTTACAAATTCGCCGGAATTTAGAATATAGGATTGAAACTCACAACACTTGTTACTAGAAAAAATTTATTGAAATTTTATTGGTACTTACCAAAGAAAAAATTTATTGGTTGGTTATAATATTTCTAATTTTATATTTATATATATTATTTTATTTATTTAATTCAGATCGTTCAATTAATAATCCACTGATTAAGTGGTGACCCATTAATCTATTAACCTAACCGAGTCAATAGTTGATTCAAGTTTAATAATATTATACATTTATATTTTATTTTATTTTATTTTTTATAAAATTATTTGTATTTTAGGTTTGAATCATCCTTTCCTTTTTTTTAATTCAATACATTTATTATTGTGTTGATTCCTCTTTAATGAGAAAAGGGGAGGATGGAGCATCATTTTATACATATATAAATTATATTTTTAATTTTAATTGTTGACCTAATCGCATTTAATGACTTACATAATTAATAAATTAAAGTCTTGTATAGATGAATTATAGCAATAGAAACTTGTTTAGGCTTTGATTCTTTTTTTCTTTTTTTTGGGTAAACAACAGGCTTTCATTCTTTATCTAATAAAATAGTTAGAATAAAAAACATATTAAATTTTGCATGTTAACGTAATAGAATTGCATTCAAACTGTTAACATTAACAGCATAGATTTAATATCGTTGTAGGAGATAATTAATTATTTCTTATACAAATAAAAGTGTATGCGATTCATATTTTCTTTTTCTCTTCCTGGTCTTCATATAGCCCCACATAGACTCCACATACTTTTATGTGTGTCTCTCGGAGATAATTTTATCTCTTAAAAATGAAAAATATCAAACCCTACAAAAATAATGGTAGAAGAAACTATTATTTTATTAATAAAAATAATCTAAAGAAAAAGTTACATCATTTCAAGATCTAAGTTGTGTTATAATATACTTATCAATGAATGCCTACAATATTATAATACGAGCATCAACATGCAGAGAAAAGGAAGAAGGGGAATGAGAACCGGAAGTGAGAAAAGTGATGTATATACATCAATGAACTGAATAGTACAAGTTCGAGAGTTATATACAACAGTAACAAGCTAACAAGCTAGCGAGGTCTAAACAAACTGATAGTTAAACATAACAAACTCAGTTTAACTAAACTAACTAGCTCTGATGGTTAAGTTAGCTTTATCATATAAATTAACTTTAATCTCTTGATGAGCTGAATCCATTGAGCCTTGATGGTCAGGTAACACCCACCCCCCTCCTCAACAAGCTAGGTTGCACATCAAGAAGCCCAAGCTTGCAAAGAAAAGAATTGAATGACAAAGGTAACAAGGCTTTAGTAAAATATCCATCTTATAAGATGGATAAATTGTGAGCTCTTGGAGAAAACTTATTTCGGTGAGAGAGGAGAGTTGAGGCATATTATAATGACCCTAACATGTAAATTATGAAATTATGAATTGATTAAAAAATTAATCAGGATTAATTAATTATATGAACGGTCAAATTAAATGAATTAAAATCACTTTTGAAAAAAAGTGTGAATAGTAAAAGTTTTGGAGGGTCAAAATGCAGATAGGCAAAAATGCCCGGAACTTAAAAATAAATTAGGGAATATTACCACAAAAATATTATAAGCCAATATGACAAGTTTGAAACAAAGTTAAGTGAGCGGGATAGATAAGTCTTTACCCACTTAGATGTTTGAACTCACATTAATATGACTTTAACACACATTCTCCCCCTCATTCCTCTATTCCTCCTACAAACATGCCCTCTCCGAATCGAAGAAGAGCTTCTTCCTTTTCCTTTCCATAAAGCTCCCGCATTCACTCAAGAAACAAGATAAAACACTTGTCAATCTTTATCTTCGTCATACCCACTCATCTTTCCCACTTGAGAGTTGTATTTGAGTGAAGGAAAAACCCACCTAGTGAGACCATTTTTGGACTTGGCAAGGGCTGGTGTGAAATGGGAGTGTAAAAGCTAAAATGACCCTTCTTTCTTGGTTGTTGAAGCTCTCAAGGTAAATGTTATGACTTCTATGTTGGATTTCATGAAAATGACTTGAGTTAGGTTACGAAAAATTAGGGATTTCATTATTTGTGAGTCGGAGTATAAACTCATGTGTAGAAATGCATGCTAGGGTATTGAGAGAGATGTATTTTGGTGTAAATTGGGCATTATTTCGTGTTGGCTATTGTTTTGACCATATGTCGTGAAATATCTGAATGTGATATCCCGATAGGATATCCAAATATCCCCCGAGGAATATCCATATATTACCCTATTTTCTAGGGGGAACGATGGTTTCCCATGCAGAAATGTGGTTGTGACCTCTTGGATACAAGGAGTACATTTGAGGATATTGCTTCAAAAGGTAAATCTTTGGTCCTTGAGTTTAATCCCCTTTCTGTTCCACTATACTCCGAGGGTGGATGGTTTATATATATGGATGTTTTTGGAAATTGAGTTATGATATAATGCATTTATATGTATGTTTGTCTGTGTGTCACACAAGACAGTGTTTCCTTGTGTGAGACATAAGATGGTGTTTCCTTATGCTCAGTATAAGACGATGTTTTCTTGCGTAGTGCATACATTGTAGGTTCTCTGGCCAATAATATATTATTTCACACATGCATGAAATATATATATATATATATATATATATATATATATATATATTGATGCTTTATATTCGTTTTTACAGTGATTATACCTGCAGTGAACTTAGTGGTGAAAGAATCCTTCAAGGACCCCTAGTTTACTGAGATGTTTATCTCACTCCGTATGGGGATATACATATTTCAAGTACAGAGACTGCTGATGTTGGTGCATCTCACGGCAGGAGGCCAGGAAAGATATATTATATGACATCAGATCTTAGACTGTCTTTGATATATATATATATACATAATTATATATATATATATATATATATATATATATATGATATTATTTTGGAATATTATTTTGGAGAGCACAAGGGATGTTTATGCCATTTTGGATAGTCTATGCACATTTGTTAGTGACATATGTATAGACCTATGTTACTTATTTAATTACATCTCTTTTGGTTTAATTTATGTAATCATTTAATAACACTATGAGCATTATTTTGAGACATGATATATATATATATATATATATATATATATATATATATATATATATATATATGATAGCCTAAGCAATGGATTGCTAGGCAACATATTTTCTACATGTATAACTTGTATGCACCCTTATGACATGATAACTTGGAGAAGTAAGAAATGTATGAAATAGGGGGTATGAACCTTGTAAACAAAAGATATGACATTGGGAATAATGAGACTAATTAGGGGAATTGCAATAAATAAAGAAAATAAAAGTCTATTCATATTTTTACACAAAACTAACAGTGAACCTAATAGTTAGGTTCCGCAATTATTTCATTAAATATGTTGCGCTTATTACTATATCTATACTGGGTGCAGATGGAGTGTTAAACATATGACAAACACCCAAAAACTTTGAGATATAACAGGGTTGGGGGTGATTTTAGAGAACTTCATAGGGGGTATTATGATCAAGTAAAGGAATGGACAACTTGTTTATAAGGTAAATGACATGAGTGATTAAATAAGACCGGAATTGGAGTGATAACTGAGATTGGAAAACAAGAGCTCTAGAAACATTGAGAATGTGTTGGTGTTTCCTCTCAATAACACCATTTTGTTGATCAAAATTCCTTTATCTTGATAAAAGGAATACATTGCAAATTCTGCTCCATTATCAGAGCGTATACATTGGATAATTTTATGGAATTGGTTTTCAACCATTATAATGAAGTTTTGAAGTAATTTTCGGGTTTCAGTTTTAGATTTCATATATAAGGCTACCAAGAAAAGTCCACAACAATGGTAAAAAAATCTATGATCATGAACATATTGTATGGATTATGGCCCCCAAATGTCAACATGTATCAATTGAAAGGTTGAAGTGGTTTTAGTGTTACTATTTGTATATAGCGGTTTATGTTGTTTTGCAAAATGGCAAGTGTCACAAGGAGCAACATCTTTAATAGGGACAAAAAGAAATTTTATTGCCATTTGCTTTAAGGTAGAATGAGATACATGACCTAGTCTATGATGTCATTACAAGGAGGCATCATTATTGGTTATAGAATGGTTAAAAATAGTATAAACAGATTTTTTCATGCTAATGTCTTTTGTCTTGTTGCTGGTATTTGTCCCTTTATAGGAAGATATTATCACATATAATCTATCAGATTGATCAGCTAAACCAACCATCACATTGGTATTCATTTGTTTAATGAAGTTGTGGCAATCACAAAAGGTCAGGTAACATAGAATAGTCTTGAGCAATTTGCTAACTGGAACTAAATTCACACAGAAAGAAGCTACATATAACACATCCAACAAGGTTAAAGTAGGATAAAGATTAACAGTACCATAAGGGCATGTTTGGTACACTGTATAAGACCTGATAGTATAAGCTTATACTATACATTATGACATTTTCAGTTGTTTGGTGTGACATAGTATAGTATGAGCTTATACATCAGAGATTTTTAATACATCAAAATGATGTATAATTTAATCAGGGCTAGGGGTGTGGGATTAGCCCTGATAAAAAAACGATGTATTAAGTAAATCCCACTCTTCCCTTTCTACCCCATTTCTGCTTCATCTCTTTTCTTCTCTATCCTTTCTCGGCAAGACGACGTTGGCAACCTTAAGGGAACAAAAGCAACTGGTTCAGGCCTGGGAGGAGACCTTTTTTACGTTGGTGGGGACGTAGTAGTCCAACTCAGTGACGAACTCGACGACCTTGCGATTGACGTATTTAAGAAGCTCGGCGGGGACAAGGCGGACAAGAGAGAGAATCTGGAAATAGAGAGAAGCAACATCAAGTTAAGCCCTCACTTGCAGTAGTTATAGTTCTGCAAATAGAGGAGGTAATTTCTCATTATTTTTTCTTCGAATTCGGAATGGAACAATTTGATGTTTGTGTTTGTTGATGTACCTGAAACATGTAATAATCCTAATTTTCGTGTTTGGGATTGCATAACGTAAGTGCTTCATTTGTGCTATTTGGGATTAATTTAAATTATTTTTCAATTGTACGTGTGTTTGCCTCTCGTTTTTTTGCTCAAAGAATAAAAGAATATAAAAGCATGTAAATTCAGGTTGCTGTTCGAAAATATTTGTGGGAAATGGAACACTTGTATTGTGATATCAGATGTTGATGGGACAATTACAAGGTTAGGAAATATCTTAGTTTTTCCAAATATATAGTATACTCTGACTGGGTACTGGTTAATATTTATTCTTTTGATAGTTCCTTGTTTTCCATTTTTATTTTGATCTTATCTTGCAAATAAAAATAATTGGGAAGTTGGTAGATACCAAAAAATGCTCCTTAGCAGCATTTTATATATCTATTGACACTGAGTAAATCAATGGTTCAATCAAACATGTTCTTCTTATATCAACGATAATAGGTCTGCACTATGATGTATTTCCCAAAAGCTTCCAAGTTCATGCTTTTTTTTTATCAAAGAGAAAGCATATCACACCCAACACTTTCTTAAGATATATGGCAGGGTTGGTTCTATATGCTATATGAACTACTCTATTTATGGTGCTGAACAAGTAGATGCTCCATGAATCCTGTTTCTTTTGAGCCTAGAATTTTTTTATTTTTTTTAATCTCATGGGTCTTCGTAGTGTGAGTTTAGTTTATAGTACTAATGGATACCAAGATCAGGTCATATGCTTGTTCAGAGAAAAAAAAGGCAATCATTGTTAGATTTTGTAGGTGGTGTGTGTTATATCTATTTAATAATATTGACTAGTAATTATATGCTTGTCAATTGAGGTCATCCATCATATTGAAGCAGAGCAAAGAACATGAGTAGTTCCATTTACTGATTTTTACTCATGAGATGATTGATGAGATGCCACAAACATATTTGTAGGCAATTAGGCATGTTCCTTTAAGCAAACTAAATAAAGCATTAAGGTCATGTGAATCCCAAATCATGAAAGCCGACTAGTATAAACCCCAACAATTGCAAATTAGTCTCCTAAACCACATTCAATTTTCTCATATATCATTACTTGCATTAAATATATCTTTCATTTTTATACAAGTTTTTTGTGATTAAGATTTATGTTTTTCAGAAAAACTTCCATTTTTATCACTACTTGCCTCACAATGGTATCTTGTTTATTTACTGTGCTTTCTTTTTGTGCAGGGGAAGTAGCTTAGAAAAAGATAAACTTGTCTTTTTTGTGATTTGAATTATATGGATCCTAATGAAAGGTTTGATCCAAATGGATGGCTAAATGACCCAAATGGATGGCTTAATGATACGACTGAGCTCCTTAATATCATGTCAATATGGTTGATGATGGAACAAGCCTTTTTGGAGTTAGTGATTGTATATATTGTGTCTTATCTACGTATGTGTTGCGCGGTTCAAAGACGACGTGAGAGATTATCACTAAGGCAACGAGCTATACCAAGGATAAGGGAAGAATCAAGGGTAGCATTCATAAGGAGGCTAATAAATGATGATGTTGCTTGTGTAGAACAACTCTGAATGAATACTTACACATTTCAAGTATTATGTTCTCTTGTACGTGTTGAGGGTAAGCTAAAGGAAGATGGGTTAGTATCAATAGAAGAACAAGTAGCTATGTTTTTACACATATTGGCTCACCATGCTAAAAATCGTGTCATCAAGTCTAAATTCCAACGGTCAGGAGAAACTGTTAGCAGATACTTCAATTTAGTTTTAAAGTCTGTGTTGAGGCTGCAAGAAATTTTATTGAAGCTACCAGACCCAGTTTCTGATAATTGCACTGACGATAGATGGAAATGGTTTAAGGTATGAATTATATTATTTTTCAATTTTGCATTATTTGTACTTATTTCACATGAATTAAATTGTTAAAAGTTGTTTACTTATCTATTACAGGGTTGTCTTGGAGATTTAGATGGAACTTATATTACTGTTAATGTTCCTGAGGCTGACAAGCCAAGATATAGAAGTCGAAAAGGTGAAATTGCCACGAATGTGTTAGGAGTGTGCTCACGAGACATGAAATTTGTGTATGTGTTGCCGGGTTGGGAGGGTTCAGCTTCAGATGCTAGGGTATTACGCGATGCAATTAATAGGAGAAACGACCTTAAGGTTCCAACGGGTAAGAACGTGTTGGTCATTTTATCACAATATATGATATATTGAACCTTACTTATTCTATTAAATAGGAAAATATATAATGGACCTTACTTGTTTTATTAAATAGGATACTACTATTTGGTTGATGGTGGATACACTAATGGGGATGGGTTTCTTGCCCCTTATAGGGGGACAAGGTACCATTTAAGCGAGTGGAGACATGGACATGTTCCGACAACTCCTCAAGAAGTTTTCAATAAGCAACATGCTCAAGCTAGAAATGTCATAGAAAGGACATTTGGGTTATTGAAGATGCGTTGGGCAATTCTTCGAAGTCCAAGTTTTTACCCCGTTAAAACTCATAACCGAATTATTATTGCTTGTTGCTTACTACACAATTTGATCAGGAGGGAAATTGATATAGATCCTTTAGAGATAGAGCTAGGTAACATGTCTATTGATGAGGAGGTGGACGAAGAGCTACATGATAGCATAGACACCATTCACACCATTGATACAAGTGAAGCATGGAGTGCTTGGAGAGATGCATTGGCTAATGAAATGTACAATGATTGGGTTGCTCATTAAGTCTATATGTAGTCTTTTTTTTATCTTTTGCATTTAAATTTAAATTGTACCTTAAAGTTATGCATTTTTATGTTTTAATTTGTTGAAAGTTATTATATACATATATGTTTCAAGTATGTAATTTAATTAACTGGCCTATGGTACCATGAGGCTTGTCAACTTCTCCCTACTAATCCATATTCAGTAACAAAAGCAACTACACAATTTTATCAAACATTATTGTTTTGGATGAACTTGTGTCTTTTTCTAAAAGAAACTGCAGGGGTATTTGGAACTTTACAAATCATGGTATTGTGACGTAATGTTAAGCACATTATGGACCGTAAAACCACAGTAAATTTGTTTTAATTTAATATATATATATATATATATATTAATGATTTTTAAAAAAAATATTGTAGATTTTTATTTTTACAATTTTTTTTGGACATAAATACTCATCAATAGGTTTTTATAAAAATTATATCATATGACATATTTGTAAAAATTATATAAATTCTTCATTAAAGGATATTTTTGTCAAAAATATTTATTTTTATCCTATATAGTATTATACAGTGTATTACCAAACACTGGATAGTATTATTTTATACAATACATTGTCTTATAAAATGTCGTGCCAAACGCTGGATAGTATTAAAATTTAATCAGGTCTTATACAATCAGGCTTAATACAATCAGGCCTTATACTATCAGATTTTTTCATGCTAATGTCTTTTGTCTTGTTGTTGGTATTTGTCCCTTTATAGGAAGATATTATCACATATAATCTATCAGATTGATCAGCTAAACCAACCATCACATTGGTATTCATTTGTTTAATGAAGTTGTGGGAATCACAAAAGGTCAGGTAACATAGAATAGTCTTGAGCAATTTGCTAACTGGAACTAAATTCACACAGAAAGAAGCTACATATAACACATCCAACAAGGTTAAAGTAGGATAAAGATTAACAGTACCATAAAAGTGAGTTGTGGTATGTGATCCATCGGACAATGTTATAGAAATATGATTAATTTTGGACATATGTGAAAAGCTGGAATAGAGATAGCTAATATGATCAGCGGCTTCTATATCAAGAAGCCAGTTGGAAGATAACTTACCTGACACAACAGTTGTGTTGGTGTTCAAAGCAGTGATTCAAACCAAATTTGTTAAACAAACTGGAGTTTCTTCATTACAAGGCCCAAAATGTAAGCCTTTAAGCAAAGTCTAATACTCATTTTGAGAAATAGTTACCACAGACTCTTGATTTTCAGCTACTTCAACATTTAGTCTAATACTTTTTTTGAGAAATAGTTACCACAGACTCTTGATTTTCAGCTACTTCAACATTATCAACAACATCTTATGACAAAAAGTTGGTAGTCCTACCAACTTCAGACTTAAAACTTAGAGGATATCCATGTTTCTGAAAATAAGAATCTACAGAGTGGTTGAGCTTTCCATAGTAAATGCAAATCGATTAAAAGTTGCACGTCCTTTACTCATCTGTCCAGAGATGCCACGACCCCTACCTCTTCCAAAACTTGTTCTCTATTGACTATCTAAAGAGCTAATAATCATGTTGCAATTCTGCCAAGCTAGAAATAAAGGATCATCCTCCAATAGCTGTGCAATTGTGCCTTCAACAAAACCTTTATTGCTCAAGACTGCCATAGTCATGGACCTCGCTCAAGAATGATAATTCCTCTCATATAGAGAAGGACAAACAAGTACCAACCCCGAACTTTCGCTCGGGTGGAGGAAAAAGGGATTTCCTGGATTCGTGTAAAAATCTGAAAGAAAATGGTTTGGATTCACCATGAATTCCAAAATCCACAATGAAAGATCCAAACAACAACAAACAGAGTTGCAATCAGAGAATCAGTGGAAGAAAAGTGATAAAATCTGATACCATCTTATAAGATAAGCATCAACATGCAGAGAGAAGGAAAAAAGCAAGCGAGAACTGGAACTGAGAAAAGTGATGTATATTAATCAATTAACTTAATAATACAAGATCGAAAGCAATAAACATCTTCTCTCAAAGGGGAGATGAAAAAATGAGATAAAGAAAGAAAGAGAGATAAAGGGGAAAAAGATTAAAATAAACCATTTGGAACATAGGAGAAAAATCAATCTAACCCTCCATTCTGCTAATAGCTTCTCTCAAATTTGTCCCAAGACACACCGTCGTCAATCTATATCTCACTCCATTAAGTCTTGTTTTACTATATTCTCCCAAGTAAGTTTCAATCTACATCTTCATCTCTTTGTGTTAAACTTTTGATAACAAACTTTTGTTCTTGCAAAGCATCCATGTGTCTTCTCATTACGTGCCCAAACCACCTCAATCTATGTTCTCTCATCTTTTTAGTTACTCATATCTTTTGTTAAATATCTTTATTTCTTATCTTATCTATTATCATATAACCATACATCCATCTTAGCATCCTCATTTTCGCTACTATTATTTTATGCTCATGTTACCCATATGCTAGCCAACATTCAACTCCATATAACATTGCAAGCTATTGTATAGAATTTTTCTTTAACATGAATATGTATTATGAGTAATAGAATTACATAGCTTGAACCAAAGATAAAAATATTGGATTATTTGTAATCCCATGCAAGTCTTTGGATTCTTGTTTTATCACCTCTTTTCCCCAGTGACGCATCGCTCTTAGTACTTCCTTTAAATAACGATAAACTATTTTATAAAATGTTGAAAACGATATGAAATCACGAGCATTATATGAATAAAAATATAACAAATTTTCCTTCTAAAAGCACATCACTGAGTCCCAAAGGTAACTCCCCCCGAAAAAATTAATAAAACGTATTTTTTCCATAACTCAAAGCAAATTGTTTCAGATCCATTTAATACCTCAATAATAAATTCACGACCAGTTAATGCAAATGTTCGAACATTAGTTTAATTCAAAAAAATTTGGTTGTAATCGCAAATCATATTAAAAATGCATTAGCTCACATAATTCATCATCGCTTGAATCAGATAGAGATTCATCACGGCTCAAGCATTGTTGTGTGTTAATAACATCCATTATAGCTATAAGTACCTGTCAATAATTCCATAACAAAAGAAGAGTAACATCCGTTACCTTTTGCTTCCTTATACACTAGAAGTACATTTAAAATTGAAATTAAAAAAATAATAACAACGTAAGAAATGTCATAAGATGAGAATTATGAGAACCTAACAACCGGATGTCATTTTGTAGTGCCTTCCAATACTTGAACGAATTCAGTACAAAAATTATTTAAATCATCTCAGGTACTTTCACTCCTTGTTTCAATCCATAAAGATCTCAGAACAGAATAAGTAAAAATCTAATTACATGCTCACTCCGGGATATGGGTATAATAATATCTTACCTAAGTATCTTACATTTATTACTTTTTTCCTTTAATTTTACCATGTACTTGTAATGCTAAAATCTGTCGCTATTAGGGGGTTAACGGACCGAGCCGAGTCGAGCTTTGATCTTAAAAGACTAAACCTGTGTTTAAATGTGTAAGCCTGATCAAGCTTGTTACCTGTTATGAATATAACTATCGACATGTGGCCTGGCTTATTTACAAAAAATAAAAACTTTGTTTAGCATGTTAGCTTGTTTAAAAAAATAAGACAACAAAAATATATCTAAACAGAATATACAATCAATAAAACTAGTAATTCCATGAATATTCATAAATTCAATTTATATCCAAACAACATAATATAAAACAAAATTATTCAAAAAGTTTGTTTAACCAATAAAATGGGGTGAAATAGATTGAGGAAAAAGAGAGAGTTATTAAAAGTAGTATAAAAAATATAAAATATAAAATATTATACTAAGCCAGTTTTAAAGACTTTAAGGCTGAGCTTTTAAATTTGAGCGTGATGCCTTTTTATTAAACAAACTTTTATGTAAGTCCAAGCCTGGTGCCAATAACCAATTTTGGACATGTAAGCTTAGGCTTTCATGAACCGAGCCAAAGATCCCTGAAATACCCCTGATTTGTTTAGCATCTCTAGTCGCTATCAATTGGGCTGAGAAACTTGAGGGCGTAATTGGTTTTTTCTTCTCTCCCTTTAGAATACCAAGTTGCTACTTTTATTTTTTATGTCAACCTTATGAAGAAGGAAAATATTGGTTCCTCCATTCCATAAGAGTAAGATTATACACAAAATCATTATTCTTTCCTCCAGTATAATTAAGCTATTAACACCGCGATCAACTACTCAAGTCTATAAAGCTTTTTTTATGGAACTAATGTTATGCCGGAGAATTCTTTTGAATTCACTTTTAATTAATAAAGGCTGGTTGTGCAGAAAAAGGTAGAGCTCCAATTAAAAAAAATCATTTTCTCCATAAAATGCTTCAAACCACCCACTACTTTTACAAGAAGTCTAATCCAACAATCAACAATTCCAAGCAATAGCTCGTTTTAAAGTGCAAATAATAATAATAATAAAATCCAACTACATAGTTTATACTATAAAATCCGAATATATGATAAAAATTTTGGACTCCGAATTTTAGTTAATGCGGATCAATCCGTTCTAACCCGCCAAAAATTGAGATAAAAGAAGTTGACGATTTCTATAAATAAATTGAAAATATCAATTTACCTATTTTATGGCTGATTAGATTAACCCACTAAAATAGTAAAAAAATTAAATTTTAAAATAAAATAACATCAAACATATCAAAATAAATAAGAACAAAACTTGAAATTTATGTGGGCAAATGATGCTTCTCTGACACATATTTCTACTGGATGAAAATTATGCGAAGTCTACCAACCACACGGTTTTTTAACTATACAGTATTTTCTATTAGAAAGACTAAATGCCTAATATTATTTTCTGACGATGTCTCTGTCGACAAAAGCAAATACGGTGATGCTAGGATCATTTAAGGTTTAGACTTTAGACGTTAAAGTGACAAGTGAAGTGTAATCATATAACATAAGTGTACCATTGAACGTAAAAATTTAAAAAACAAAAAACCCCAATCTATTTTAACCAGAGATGAATCTTCTCGTCTTAGTTGACAAAATCATATCTTACGAGAAAATCCTAATCATTCATGAATAATTCAATTATTACGATCTTATCATTCTTTATTCTAATATATTTTTCTCTCTCGTTCCCCGTCCCCATTAATTTACCCAAGAATGGTTAAGAAGAGGACCTATTCCAATTTTAATCCATCCTTGTGCGGGAAAGATTGTGGCAGTTGATGAAATCCAAAATTATAACCGAACCCGCCAAATTAAATGAGTTAAATGAATTGGTCTCCACGTGGTTCAAAATTAATTCAAACAAAGTTCCAATAGCAAGTACACATTCCAGGTCCAAAAGAGTATGAGAACAAAAGCAGATAGTTGTGTCCTAAGAGCCAACAACATTCACTAGTGTATTTTGACTCATTCAGCGTTAAGTCGACAAAGTTAATTCCAAAGTGCAAAGATCACCTTACGAAAAAGACCCTCAGACTTCCTTCTCGTTGTTTGAGTCTTTCAACGCACACGAAGATTTGGATGGTACCTGCAAGCAGCCAGTTAAACATTTAGGAGATACTACCACATGGCAGAAAACCATGCACCAGATTCCAACATTAAATCAGAAAAAAAAAAAAAAAAAATCTGGAAATAATAGCCCAACGGGCTTAACAGCAAGTAATGCCTTTCAGGTGTATAAATAATCACAGCAGAAGACAACGCAAAATATTTCAAAATCTCAAAGAAAGAAGTACCTTGCATTGAAGATTAGTTATTGTTTCCCTCAAGAGACTATCTCCAACAATCAACCTCAACTTCTTCACAAAATCATCACGGGCCATCTTCTTTGACTGGTAATTACAAGAAAACGAGAACATTATTATATACTAGTCATATTACATCATGACAAACAAAGGCATCCAGTGGAGCTACTTTACATACCCTGAATTGTTGATAATGCATATTGATAAGTTCCATATCATTGGGAGGAACCTCATTTGCGATAGCAGCAAAAAGCATAGGAAAAGGCATCCAAGGGGATTTCGGAGCTTTAGGCAAGCTAGCCACCACACCAGTAGCTATCCCCTGAGGTATCCAAAAATTCAAAATTGTTTGGACAATTCTCTTTATGGACAATAAAGTTAATCATTAATGAGATACTATATGCAATAATTACCGAAAGTGCATATTCCTTAAGGCAAACAATGAGTATCACAAGATCACAGGTTGAAAAGGATCACATATTACCCCAACAAGTAAATAAGCCATATGCAAATAGCACGATATAAATGGATGTTATAAGTATTAAATATAAAAAATAGTCCATAAGACAACTCTAAATAAACGACAGAAGCAAATGAGTGTGCCCTCTACTTGTGATCACTACTACCAAAAGTAACATTCACAAGAAACACACTGTTTACTTATCTTCCTCATAAACAAGACTCTTCATTCTAATTTCTACTAAAACAAAAATCCTATTTCAAAATTCTTTCGGAAGTATGAACTATCTTCAGGGTAATAAATGATCCACAATAAGCAGAAATAAATCCAGTAAGTTTAAAATTTTGGATCAAAGGTCAATAGCATGCATCCATTCCAAATTCAGATTAGACCAATTAAGATATAGAACAATAACAAAACCTTAAGACTAAAGAACCTAAATATTTAGGTTTTGCCTTGACATTGAGACTAATTACAACATTACATAGGCTTGATAATATAAACATTGTTAAAAGTTTTGGATTTAACAAGACACTATTATATAATCCTTTAATTACCTCAAATTATCATTTTTTTTTCTCCTTGTAAAACCATTATATGTTTTTAATTTGGTCCAGGCTACAAGGTGCTTCCAGTGGTTGCAGTGCAATTTAGAGTACACATAAACGGAACTCAGTTTTGAATCCCTTATACTTTCATGTTAGGGTCAAACCAAAATTTCTAACCCCGGGTCCAGGGTTATATTTGCCTGTGGAATTCATGCTTTATGGTCTGATTTAGTCCCAAGTTTTGATTGGATAGAATAATTTTAAAGTTCTAATCCTTGAATCAGAATTCTATGAGAAATCCTTCTCCGAGGTAAAAAAATCTATATCAATGTAATACTTATTTTTTAAGTAATATGATTGATTTTGGATAAGACTATTTTCACTGGAATATGTTACGCAACACAAAGCTATCACATCCTCATCACCATTAACCCTTTTACCAGTCTGATTCTTAGGAAATTAAATATTATCCTAACTGTTGTCTCATCTAAATGATATTTTTCCTTCCGAAACCCTAATTTATATTTGCAACCTAGAACTGACCTGAGCTTCAAAATTGCTTCGGCAGTAACTATTTATAGCACTGAAAGCAACATACTATCACCCTTAATCACCACCCTATAACTTGCACACTATCTTACACCAGGCAAACCTTCACAGAAATTTCAATTCCACTATATTATTGTCATTAATCCTCTAAAAATTGGTAGACAATCTTTCAGATCCAGCCAGAATTTCTTCCAAGAAATAAAGGCATCAAATGCTAAGCTAACTGCTTTATTTATTTTGGAAAGTAAATAAAAAAATTATTTCTTTTACACCAGCCCATCTTTCAGAATTTCTTTCAAGCAGCCTTTATTTCAACCACAGTCATTTATCATTTTATCAAGAGAGAAATAAAAAAAGTAAAAACAAGAAAAAAAAAAGATATTTAAAAAGGTAAACAGATAAAGCATTTTAGATAAAAAGAGTTAAAAAATAGGTATTAACATTGCCTTTCACCAAGAAAACTTGGCAAATCATGCAATACTCAAATATCAAGCAACTTACGGTATCTAATGTAGAAGGTAACAAGCTCTTAGGACCTTGATCAGCTGAATTAACCTCAGAAACATCATTCTTACTCTCACCTCCACAAAGAAGGCCTGTAAAATGCATAAACTATTGGTAACCAAAAAGAAAAAAAATTCCAAAAGAATGGCACTCATACAGCTTAGCAGCAGAAAGCCAGAAACAGAAGGCTATGCCATTGAACAAGACTTCAAGTGATCTGTTGAATGTGAGGGAGCCCAACCACAAAGAGTAAACACTCCACCCAAATGGAAAAATCAAACCATAGATATCAATCAGTCAGCCTCTGATCAACTCATTAAGTACCAAATACCAATTATATGTAATACAAAAATTTAAGAGTTCTTATTTTTGTCAAGGAAAATATAAATCAAGAGTAAACATAAAAGAAAACTAAAGAAAATTTGTATCACCTTCACCATCAGAAGAGACCTTGAAACTAACAACAAATTCAGGATAAATGTGGGTGTTCAAGTTCATATTCCATACTATATAGTATCTCGGACTCTGAACGTCATCCACCCCACTATCATAGTCACCACTACTGGGACGAAACTGTCTACTGCCAGGACGGAGAAGCTCCATGTTCCCCATTATTACACGACACAGGACCAAGTGCCGAACACCATTTTCGTCAACATCACAATAACTAGCACTGTAAATAAGCCAAACTTGAATGCTTCTCTACCCATTACAACAGAAAAATCTAGAATATAAATACTAAATAATAACATAACAAAGTAGACAATAAATAAAACATCGTGATATAAATAAATATGGGAAAAAACTGTTATTTTGTATGTATATCAAAGATATAATAGAATGTTCTCAGGGAAAAATATATATTGATAGTTGACCCCAACAATAATTATAAAAAAATAAATGTATCAGGAAGAAAAGATATATTCTTAAAACTCCATCCTGAAACAAAAAGTTTAATTAGAAATAAAAAAAAAAAAAAAACCATTCATTTTTATTCATCTTGCTTTTCCCAGACAAATTTAAGCCTAGGATAAGATTATCATTATTATTAGAAGTATTTAAAGAGACTATTGTTTCAAGTTGGTGATAAGAAAACTCAACCTGGCATAAGGACAGGTAGCTGCAGCAAGATGAACACCAACGCCATGGGTGCATTTAGATGCTGATAGTCCACAATGACCAAGTCCATACTTAATCAATGTAGATAGTTCTTCTTTAGAAGAAGCAAGCCAAGCATATCGCACATTAGCATCCCCACGACAATTTTCTGTAATTTCAGCTTGCTTATGGAACAGCTCCAATCGCGCTTGCATCAATGTACTTGAGCAGCGGTAAAGCTCAACTAAGTCAGTACTACCAAAACTACTCATTCCATTAAGAAACATCTTCTGTACAGTATCCAAATCCAACTTTCCATGTACAAATTCATTACATGCATTGAACCCTACGTTTTGAATTTGCTCAATGGCTTCACCAACATTTTCATTGTTGATTTTATTACTGCTATACTCAATTTCTACATCATTTTGACTGCATGCTTGTTTAGCATCAGTTGGAATATGATTAACTAAAGCATTGGATTCTCCACTACACTCCCTCAACTTCGATTCATCCACTCCATTTATTTCAATATCTAAATGTAATTTTATTTCATTAGATTCATAAGGATCTTGAAATAATGATTCATGACTTTTTCCATCCTCCTGATTACAGGAATAAGGTACTTCATCAGAAACAGCATAGATTTCAGGGAAAAAGCAGCACCCTGTTTCGTCAATCCAAGCAATAGGTTGCTGCAAACCAGTTTTCAGGTCCATTTGATACATGTGCAAAAAATTCAGCACAAGATGATGGCCATTTAATTCTACCTCCATAGCTGCCTTCTTTACTTCAAAATCTTTCCTAACCAAGTCAACCACATCCTTAGGAAAGTCCATCCATCCACCATCCTGATAGAACATCAAACGTTCCGGCCTCCCACTCTTCTTATAGTTCAAATAATACCTAACTAAAGATCGTGCAGTATCAGTCCCACAGTTTGTCAGCTTTCTTTTATATCCGCCTAATCTCCTCTGTTTGACAATCTTGTTTGTTGGTGACACATATGACAGCCATTGAGGTGACCCTGATTGCGAAGCTTTATTTAGACATGCAGCATATTTAGCAGCCCGCTTTCGCTTCAGATTGAGAACAACCCTATCCAATGCCTTTGCGGTTTTTGTTTCCATTTCTATATACTAGATCAACATCTATAAACACGTTCAAATTTAAAAGCTCAGATGCAGCAGTCAAATCGAACTCTAGACCTTGAGCATTTTTGAATAAACTGTGGCAGTGACAATGAAGACCATGACATCAAAAATATTTTGCAGTCCCTGGATATTTAAAATTTTTGAGAACATTGAACAAATATATAGGATCATGTACTCATCATTACAAAGTTTGACATAATAAATACTAGGGAGTAAATCAATAAAAGTATTCCATGCATGACAAAACAAGTAATCTAAAACACTTTAGCTTTTGCAAGTGAAATTGCAAAAGTACTGTCGCCAAGAAGATTAAAAATAAAATAAAATCAATTGTCGAATTTATAATACTTAAGAAATGAGCAACAACAATCAAAAGACTGCATGTTAGTCTAAACTAGAAAAGCTTCAAACATAAATCATATAAATAAACAAGTTAACGTGAATTCATTCCAAGCCAAATAATTTAATTATATAAACATTTATCTATCTATTTATTCACTGTCTTATTTATTTTTCTTTTCATTCTATCTTTTTCTTGCTTTTTTATTTAGGCTCGCCGACCGCCAACCCCAACTAATTTGGGAAAGGTGATATTAATGTTGATCAAGCATTCCTCAACTACTTAATGTCACCTGATCTTCATGAGACCAATGTCGATAAAGTCGGTTAAACCTCGAGAAATACAAGTTAAAAGAGAATCCTCCACAGACAATTTCACAAAATTGATCATGTTAGAAACAACAATTTAGGGAGCCCAATTGAAATATGAATTTCAGCCTTCAAGATTCTTTCAAATGCCATTGTTTAATATTATTTCTCAACTGCTATACTTCTTTTGGAAAACTCCTCTAAAGTGAGTACAGGTTTTAGTGTGTTAAATTACAATTTAGAATTACAGTAAATACACAGTTACTTGCTCACTTTAGAGACAAACTCTTTAGAGAAGCCTTAACCATTTCTTTCTATCTTCTTCAATTGATAAATAAAAAATAGCACCGAAGTCTTCATTTGGTCATCTGGTCAGTACTTCTTATTTAATAGGGAGAAGGATATACCACATGCCACTTAGTTTTATGTTAACCATGCTTTCTCAAGTTTCAAGCACCATGCAAGTGTGATGTTATAGAAGTTAATACACAGCAGCTTAAAGATGGCTTAATATAAAAATTTAGGACAGTTTATTTAGGGTTACTAACATACTAAGCCTAGCCCAATCTTTCAAAGTCCAAATATAACCTTAAGGTCCAGACCTCATAAAAAGTTCACATGCTAGTCTGTGACAATTTAATACATTGAAAACATTTTAAAATCAAAATAGGCTGAAACATACAGCATAAAAACAGAACATGACGGAAGTTTCCCCAGCAACACATCATTGACTGTTGTATAAATAACACATCTGCTGGACATGGACTTATCATCTGCTGCCCAAGACATACATGGATACTTCAATTTTGCTAGATTTTCAAATACAGTTAGTTCTTTTGAGCCCAATACTTAGTAGCTTACTTCTCAGGAGTCCAATAAAATGAAATAGGAATGGAAATATGAACATGTCACATAGTGTACTCTTTGTAATTGTGATTCAGCAAATGCTCCATATAGGAGTCATAAACCATAAATGTGTGTTGAATGAAATAAACAGCAAATAAGAATTAAGAGAAACGAAAAGGAAAACTAACTAAATTATCAAATCCAATTTGTCCAATAAATCGAAAAATAATCCCATAATAGAGAATGAATGATGAATAGATCTTTGCTTATTTCCTCTGTACTTATCAGATATTATGAGAAACAAGTTTCAACCGTGCGCAGATATATTAGAAGCTAAGGCAACCTCGAAGAATTGTAACTAAATGCATCATTGAAATCTCCACAATCCATGAGAGGGCTATATAACATAACACCAAACTAGTACCAGTGATCAAAACTATAAAAAAGTAAAGCATAACAACAACCTTAAAACATCAAGAAATTCAGAGATCAGTCAAGATTAAGAAATAGGAAAAAGTTCAGCAATGCCTTGTAGTTTATTCCAGAATCATCTGTGCCCCTGGTTTTATGTATGACATATGTCCCTGTGGTTTGCAAAAAGATATGTTATTTTATCATATATGCCTCTGTGGTTTTTTACTTTTTACAAACTATAGGAGCATATGTGATAAATAAAAAAATGATTCTGAAGCAAACCACAAGGAAATTGATAAACTTTTCCTTAAGAAATACTGAAAGTTGACTAGAGGCAAATAAATAAATAAAAAAGAAAAAAAAAAGAAATTAAACATACCCAGCACTGCAGTTAGTTTTCATACTGTAAATGCTTCTCTCTGAAAGAGCTGTACCCCTGATCATAGAATTTAACAAAAAAAAAACAAAAAAAAGGCCATGGACAAATCAGGCGAAGCTATGCTCTTCCAAGGAAAATACATTAAAAATAGTATTTTATTTATTTTATATTTTTGCATAATTAAAACAACAAAATGATAGCTTTGAACAAGCACCATCAAATCAAAACACTGTAAAAAATAAAATAAATAAAACTCTTAATCAATATCACTCCCAGGTTTCAATATCACCAAAAAATGATGAAAAAAAAAAAAGTAAAATCGATTCAGAAACCCAGAACAATAGAAACCAACCCCGATCTAACAAAACCAAAGCCCCAAACGAGAAGTCAACAGACACTAAGATTTTCAAAACCCTGGAAATCATAACAATCATTCAATTTCTAAATTGAAAAGTATAAAACAAAATTGAGGAATTAAGAGAAAATTGAAAACTACCTGACTATAGAAACATACAAAACAAATAGTTACTTCTTTCTTTCAACTCTTTTTTGTTCCTACGTGAGTTTCCGTCATATATATGGTTTTCCAGATATATATGGTTTATCAGTTGAGACGAGAAACCCTAATGGGTAGAGGCGGAGTGAAGGGTTTATATACGACGACGCCTGAGAAGGGAAGATATTGAGTCGGTGGTTTTAAACGGCGCAACTCATTCGCCCTGTTGTCTCCTTTTCCAAGCAAACCATTGAAGAAGATTCGCGTTCGGGTTTTGATAACCTTACACGCATCAGGGCCCACTTTCCTCACCGCCTCAATCTAATTGGGCTGTGCTGGCGTGACTTGTCAATTGGGAGTATTTTTTTATTTTTATTAATTTCTCCTTTGCTCCATTAACAATCTGACCAGTTTAGTCCTTCCACATAACATCGTAAAAATGATAAAATTTTCTCTACATAGTTTTCTTCTAACATAGTTATATATTTGGAACTCAAACTTCAAATCATTTAGTGATTAGGCTGAAACAACTCGATTGAGTATGTCAACTTGTGTGTTCATTTGTATTTTTACCATAACAATTCATATACTCAATGCGTCCCATTACGAGTGGTGATGAAATTGAAAATCACTGATTAGTAACGGAATTAGGATTTAATTTTAATCGGTCAAATAATTTAACATATTAAATTATTAAAATATTTTTATAATTATATAAATTTCACGTACGAAAATAAATTACTTGAAAATTTTAAAATAATAGAATTGACATTATTTTAATAAATAATAAGTATTTATTTAAAATTTAAAATAAAATAAAATTAATAAAGAAAGTGTAAATTATATATATATATATACATATATGAAATTTTCATGTGATCTTTATGAATATTATTTAATGTGATGTTAATGAAAATTTATTTCATGTAATGTTAATAAAAATTTATTTCAGGTGATGTTAATGAAAATTTATTTCATGTGATCTTTGTGAATACTTTTTTTATCTTTTATATTTTAATTTGTATATATTTAAAATTTAAAATATAAAATAAAATAAAATCAGTAAAGAAAGTGCAAATTATATGTATATATAAATATATGAAATTTGCATGTAATCTTTATAAACATTATTTCATGTAATCTTTATAAACATTATTTCATGTAATCTTTATAAATATTATTTCATGTAATGTTAATGAAAATTTATTTCATGTAATGTTAATGGAAATTTATTTCATGTGATGTTAATAAAAATTTATTTCGTGAGATGTTAATGAAAATTTATTTCATGTGGTCTTTGTGAATAATTTTTTTTATCTTTCATATTTTAATTTGGTTTAGGCCTATAAACTTTAATTTGCAACTTGGTAGGCCTTACAGGTCGTATTAGATTTTTTAGTTTTTTATAATAGGTCAGGCCAGATCTATAAATCAAGTCTTTAATAGGCTAATAGGCTTGTATAGGTTCTGAATATTTTACATAGGCTTAGGCTATCAAAGCCAGAGTCTAGCCTAACTTGGCTCATTTATATCCCTAGTCGTGACATGTGAAGAACATCAACGTAGAGTGACAACAAACTTCACAATTAAAAGAAACATGGAACAATCAGCGACAAATGTCTAAAATCGTTTAAATGACATTGGATCCAAATAAATCATTTAACCAAGATATTTTAAAAAATTTAAAAAAACAAAAAAAAAACAAAGAAGTTGTTAATGAATATGTACAAAAAAATTTCATACTCCATATATATACATATATCTTAATTGATTTTTTTCTTTAACAATTTTCACTTATTAATCGTCAAAATTCTCATTCCTGCTGTGAAATTAAATACAAATAATATCAACAAAAAAAATTCTATTCCATTACCAATAGCAACCGTAGGCTATAGCTTTACATTAAAATAATTTTTTTTTTTAAAAAGTAGATGTAAAATAGCACTCCATTATTCAAAAGAAATAAAATAAATAAATACAACCACACACAAAAAAAGTTGTAAATAAAAAAAAAAGGCATGAATTTCACTCATATTAAAAACACCAAATAAACAATTATGGTCAGCGAAGACAAAGAATTCTCTTTTACAAGGTTCAAAAATATAAATCAAATTTTTCCCCAAGCGGACAATATAATTACCAATGCATATTCTAAGAACATGTATTCCTAAAATCTTGAGAATGGAAAAAAACATCCTACCTTGTCGTAGAATGGCTGGATTCCATGAGATGAGTGCGAATAAGAAAAAAAAAAGTTAGAAAAACCCTAATTGAAAAAAAATGAAAGAAGAAGAAGAAATTATGAAGTAAGCAATCTCTTATATGGACATACACGCATAGCAGCTCCAAATATTCATCTGTTACCATTGATACAATTTTAGTTAGAGTCAACTTACAATTTTAGTTAGGATCTAATTATAATTACTTATATAATTATATATAATAAATAAATTTTGTTAAAATATAATCGGGGCAGATGCCCTACCTAAATATAACGTTGCTACGCCACTACACTCAATGACATTTATTCACGACCCTATCATTTCGAATTGGATGGCCATCTACGCAGTGGCGGAGCCACGTTGGTGCCAAAAGGTGCCTTGGCACTGGCTAATTTAGCCACGTTTCTTTAGCTACGTTTAAACGTAGCAAATCATGTTTCAAGTTTTTTGAAAACTAGCCACGTTTTCGTCGTAGCTATATAACCGTGGCACCAGCTAAATTTTTTGGCACTGGCTTAAATGTCTTGCTGGCTCCGCCACTGCATCTACGTATAACTTTCATATTCATTAATTTTTTGCGTGGATGGGGGCATGAGTCATTTGTGCCTTAAAATTCGCAAGAGCTTCTACCTTGATTGTTATCCTCGATTAATAGTCAATTTAATACTCGTACAACTCAATAAATCATTGTTGGAATTAATGAATGAATTAAAGTACAATGATCCATTGTTTATGAATAAGAAGTGGGTTAATAAAGAAAAGAGAAAAAAGGGAAGATGAAGAGGTGTGTGGGTTTCAACAAGTCCCACATTGGACAATTAGTAGGAAATGGGAGAGTATATAAGCTCGAACTTCCCTCTCTTAGATTGGCCCTTGGGTCACTACATGTTTTATGTAGGGGGAAGAGCTAGGCGAGCATTGGTTCACCACACACGCGCGCGCCGCCGCCGTCCGTCCGGCTCGGATCGGTTCGGTTCGGTTCATAATATTTTGTCCAAAAAATTTACCGTTGCTTCCCTACAACCAAAACGTTTCTACCCGCCGGATTTTTGAGCAGTATTGAACCGAACCGGTTCTTTCCCTTCGTGAACCAGTCACCGGTTGTGTCTGCTCGCTGAACCGGTCGTATCTGTTCGTCGGAACAGTCATCGGTCGCACCCGTTCGCCGCCATCAGACACGGCGGTTCGCCGCCGGCGACTGTTCATCGTGACCGGTCAGTGTCTATAAATAGACACTGACACCTTCAGAAATCCATCCAGTTTTTTCTGCACTTAACTCTGCCGGAATTTTTCTTCTTCCGGTTTTGCATACTGTTGTTCATCCTCCGGTGTGACTTCCTCTGGCATATTGTTGTGTTCGTTTGGGCTGTTGATTGGTAGTGCCACCATTCTTCAGACAAAATCTGTTCTATCCTGGGAGACAAGTGTCCATCAACCTTAGGCATCAGTGAGGGGGCAAATTGTCTTAAGGAGACACGTTCTGTGGGCTCGGATTTAATTCCTCTGATACTGCATATATTCATCCTTTCATTCTGTCTGTTTCATCATTCTGCCACTGACAAGTAAGTCTGTTTTTAATATTTTTAATTACACAGTGATAATTCTGATCCTCTGCCTCCTCTGCTTTATACATGAGTTCAAATCTATTAGTGATATAATATCACCCATTGTCTTCACTAACAATCTTAAGACAATTAGGTGTTTTTGAACCTGTGACCAGTATTATTTTTTGTTATATATATTGTTTCTGTTTTATTTACTGTGTGATTAATCAGGGTTATTAATCTGTGTGATAAATTAATCTGTGTGATTAATTTCAGATTCTGTTTGTGTAACAGAAATGGCTAATGTAAGTACTAGCAATGCCAATGTTACTGCCTCTGTTCCAATGCATGCTGACAAGCCTGAAAAACTGAATGGAACAAATTTCAAACGCTGGCAACAGAAGATGTTGTTCTATTTGACAACTCTGAGTCTAGACCGTTTCCTCAAGGAAGATGCTCCTAAACTGAATGAGGGAGAAGAGTCTGACAAGGAAAAGGTTGCTGCCATTGATGCTTTTAAGCATTCTGACTTCCTTTGCAGGAACTATATTCTCAATGCTCTAGACAACTCACTGTATAATGTGTACTGTACCCTGAAGACTAGTAAGGAACTTTGGGAAAGTCTGGACAAGAAGTATAAAACTGAGGATGCTGCCTTGAAAAAATTCATAGTTGGCAGATTCTTGGACTTCAAGATGGTAGACTCCAAATCTGTTGTGAGTCAAGTTGAGGAACTTCAAGTGATTGTGCATGAAATTCATGCAGAAGGAATGTCTCTTAGTGAGTCTTTTCAAGTTGCTGCTTTCATAGAGAAATTACCAAACTCTTGGAGAGACTTCAAGAATTATCTGAAGCATAAGCGCAAGGAATTGACACTTGAAGATCTGGTTACCAGATTGAGAATAGAAGAAGACAATAAGATGTCTGACAAGAGGAATGGAAACAATCCTATGATCTCCAAAGCTAATGTAGTTGAAGAGGGATCAAAGTCAAAGAAGAGGAAATATTCTGAAGATGGAAATGCTAAGCAAGGAAAGGGCAAAAAGTTCAAAGGCAACTGTTTCAATTGTAGGAATCCTGGCCACCGTGCAAAGGATTGTAAGAAGGAACAAAGGAAAGATCAGAGGAAGCCACAAAAGTTCAATAAGAAGAAGAAGAACACTCAAGCCAATATGGTTGATATTGCTGATCAGGTTGAAGAACTGAATCTGGCAGCAGTGGTGATGGAGTGCAATCTGATGGGAGACTCCAACGAATGGTGGGTGGACACTGGTGCCACCAGACATGTCTGTTCAAACAAGGGGATGTTCTCCTCCTATACTCCTACTGATAATGATGAGAAACTTTATATGGGTAATTCATCTACTTCAAAAGTTGAAGGAGTGGGCAAAGTGGCTTTGAAAATGACATCTGGCAAGATAGTGACACTGAATGATGTGCTCCATGTGCCTGATATTCGCAAGAAC